AGAAGAGACAACATCCACTAATCCAAGGTCATTTCCTGGGCTAAAAGCAATAAAATGTTTTATTGATAAACTGAAGAGGGGAAAATATACACACTAAATCCACGCTCACACATTGTGGGCCATGCCTGGGCTGTTGCTGCCTTTGCCCTGGCCCTGCCTGGGATAATGCACGAGTCGTGCTGGAGGGCAAATGTTTTCTTCAAGGGGCTGAGCATTTGGCTGCCTTCCCTGCCTCCTCCCGGCGTGTGGCTGGGCATCACCAGGGCATGTTCCCAATGCCCCAGTGGCCTTCTGCTGTGAAGGTTTGGCTCTGTCTTAGGGACTGCAGCTCAAGTGTGAAGAGGCTGCAGCAAGCAGCATCCTCACCCCCTACCCCAGCGAGCCGTGCCACCCTCCCTGTGTGGGGCTCCTGGGCAGAGTGGAGTCTCTCCAGTCAAGCTTGCACCACAGTGGTTAAAAAAGAAAAGGACTGTGCAGCATGTTGGCCCTCCTTCCCTCCCCCTCCCCGCCCCAAATAATGCTGTTAATAATTAATCGAATGAGAGCTTGCAGCTCCTGGAAAGCTGGCACTGGGACCTCCCTCTTGAACGGAGCTGCTCAGCTGGGCTTAAAACTCTTCAATAGGAATATGAAAGCTCCATCTGTTCGACGTACCCGGCCCTCTGAAGTGACAGCGTGCCGTCCCTCCCCAGCCAGCACCCCTCTCCCAGCAGCACAGGCCCTCCTGCCCCTCTTCTCCTGCCCCTCCTTGGCCGCTGCCCCAGCCAGCGGGGGTCCCCCCTGCACCCCCAGCTTTTCCCACACCAGTAAGCTCCTGCCACACAGCCAGCGCCCCTTCTCTTCCACCCATGCCAGCTGGTCCATCCAACTCCCACAGGCCCCATTTTCATATCCAGGTCTCTTTCTCCCCTCTACCAGGGTCCCTTTCTCCCTTCTCCCAGGCACGTGTTTTTTTATTGACCTCAAGCCAAAGCCAGATTTTGGCTCTCTTTTCCTTTCCCTGCAAAACCATAGTCTCTCTTTGCAGCGCCATTTGCCCCTTGGCTGGGATGCCCTATTTCTGACCACGCTACAAAGCCCTTGGTTCCTGCACATGGTGTGCTCCCCACCCAATCCCTCTCCTCTCTGGGGGGAGGCAGAGCTAAGCTGTGCCCACCTTGGCAGCACCCCACTGTGGAGTTTATGGGTGAGAAAGTGCTGCTTTGGGGTCTGCATGGAGGGAGAGAGCCTGGGGCTGTACACAGGGTGCTGGCAGCACACGGGGACTGGGGGGAAGGAGGAGTGGTGGGGGCAGCAACCGGGGCTTGTCGCAGCAAATTCAAGGGGTGACAAGGCAGCAAAATGACGAGGGGAGTTTTGTCCTCCTCCTTGCCAGGCCTGGTTGCGGCAAGCCATACCTTTTCTTCAAAGGGAGGTTTACTCTCAAGATGCCACAGGGCTGGGTGCGGAGTGGAGGGAGCTGGTGTCTCCTCGTAGGGTGTGGGGAGGGGGCAAGAGGAGTAAACTCCCGGTGGCATTGTTTTCAGAGGAAGTGCTCAGTGTAAATAGAGCATGTGGGAGAGTTTGTACTGGGCAAAGATGAAAAGTCCGTGTGACAGGCTCAGGTTATAAACGGCTTCCTCAGATTGATGTGAAATCAAAACATTTCTATTTAGATGAAGAAAACGAAGGGGGATGTTTACTTAGCATGGAATCTTTAAACAGTGTGATGGAGACGCAGGGTGATTTGGGGTGGGGAGCTCAGCCTGGGGGGAGGAAGCCTCTGCCTGGCTTTGGGGGTCCCTCCCTGCCTGACAGTCCCAACCTCGAGCAGATACGAGGGTCCTTCATTCAGCAGCTCAATTCCTCTCCCTCTGCCCAAGTGAATGAAATACGGATGTTCTGGTCCCCTCCAGGCTCATGGCCATCTCCTACATTTCTTTGTAAGAAGTGGTTCCCTTCTACTTTTGAAATTGAGAGTTTGAAAGAGGAGAACAGAAATGTTGATATAGGTATTGTCCCTCCCGTTCCATAGACAAAGAAATAAGGCAATGGAAAGATAAAATGATGTGTCCAGGCTTACGGAGAGTTGGTTGCAAGGTTGGCAGCAGAAGCTGGGAGTTCTGATTTCCTGCAGCCGTCGGTACATAGGTAGGATGGAGATACAGAAAAGTCTTGGTACTACAGGGCAAGTCCCATCTCGGGAAGGTTTCTGGGAGGGTTAGTTTTATAGACCAGGGAAAAGATACATTTTCAGAACTTGCTTTATTTTTAACTTAAACGTAGGAAAAGACTCTTAAAATGTTTAAGAGCAGCATGCTGTTCTCAAAAAAAAAAATCCCAAACACAAGGAGAAGGGACAGAAGAGATGCGGGGGGGGGAAGGGCAGGAGCTGGGGTGCAGAAGCTGGGGAGGCAGAAGGGCAAAACCAGGGTGTGTGAGATGGAAGGAGGCAGGAACAGGAATGGAAGACAAGTTGCAGACTCCCTGGAGTTGCTGCGTACGCGGCAAGTGCAGCCTCGGGAACGTCTGTTCCTCTCTTCCTTTGAATAAATATTTATATATTCATTTGCCGGCTGGTGCACGCACTTGGCTGCTCACCTCCAGACCAGAATAATGGGACCTGCCCTCACTGCAGAAAGGGGGAGGGCAGCGGGGATTTGGGCTGCCGCGTGTCTGCCTCCCAGTTATCTCCAGCTGCGAGCGGTGCTGATCTCACCAGTGAAGCAGGGCTGGGGATGGTGAGAACGTGGACGGGGAATCACCAGGCAGCGTTCGGGGGAGCGGCGCTGGTGATTCAGTGCTGACCCAGTGCCCCAGCCCTGGGCAGGCACTGCACCGCGCGGGAGGCACCGTCCTCCCCACCTGCAGCCGCGGAGGCTCCGCTGGCCCTTCGCCCGAGCATACAGGCGTGAGCTGTAGGTGTCCTGGCCAGGCTCCAGTTGGAGCTCACAGCAGCCTCCTGAGATTCCCTCTGTGGTACCAGTTGCGCCTAGGATCGGCCTTCACTTTTCTGCCCTAAATAGAGTGGGAATGTGATGGGAAGGGATGGTGCCAGCACACAGAGACTTTTGCAGTTTCATGGGCGTCTGCCTGTGCCCATCTGTATGCGTGAGGACTGTGTGCGTGTGTTGGGAGAATGTGTGAAAGGGAAATGCGTGGGGAAATGTATGGGAATGTATTTTGGGGAGATGGGACTTTTTAACCCGTACGTGTATGACTACGTTTATGGAGCGTGCCAGCGCATACACACAGCTCTTGAACAGCTATAATTTCTAGATGGGGAGGTATGTGTTTGGGGGCAACGTGTGCTTTCCCTTCATGAAAGCATGATTGCACGTAGGTGTTAGTGCCAGGGGGGGTGTGCATTTGGAAAGTGGAGGAGTACATTTTGCCTCCCTTTGTGTGGGGGGCTGATACATTTGTCGGGGGGTTATTTTTCTTGCAGTCCTTGACAGGGAAGCGTGTCTGAAGCTGTCAGGAGTTTACGCTAAGCAGCCACTCTCTGGCTCTTGGACAGCAGGTCTAAAGTTTCAGTCTGTTTGTATTGGGCTGTCATGTTATGGGATTAGGGGCTGTCACGATGGCTTCTGGATGCATTGTAGGGGGTCTGATTAATCTCACCGTGCTTCTGTGGAGCAGCACCTCTGTGCTGGTGACAGGGAGGTGTGGGCTGAGCTGCCATGAAGGACTCCTGTGCAGTGGAGGAACCCGTTCCCTCCATTCGAGGTCTGCAGACTGTTTGCTCGGTGTGATGGGCTCCTCTTTCACATAAAGCACAACAGAAAGTTCAGGAGCACACTGTGGAGGGACCTCCAGCAATGTGCCCACAGCAACTCCAATGGCATGTGTGTCCGGCAAGTATTTTATTGGGTGCTCTTCCTGAGCCCTGGGACGAAGAGCAGGGTCTGCCTCTGCACTGCGCTGGGGGAAGAGCCAGGCTCTGTGCACATTTCTTGCCTTGGGACCTTTAACCCTTCATAGTCTGGGTTTCTCTCTGAGGCACTATGAATAAAGAGGGAAATGAGACAATGCAGCTGCTTTAGAATCAGTTTCTTGCTTGTATTTGCAATTGAATCTTGTTAATTGTTGGTGCAATAATTATGCAAGTGACTCTGATAGGGACCATTTAGTTCAAGATTCTCCGTGACCTTGAAGTTAAGACCTTACCTTCTTCCTTTCTCCCCCCACTTTCTCTTACCCCTCCTTCACTAGCTGTCACATATGAATAAACTACATTAAAATAACAAACCCACACTAATTAGCTGATTGTGCTGGGAAGTGTGAGAGCAGAATTTCCTGTGTGTTCGGGAGCAAGCAAGCGAGGAGGCAAAAGGGCTGGATCAGCTGCTACCAACAAGGCGATTTTCTCCCATACGACTGCCACACACCAGTCTGGGGCTCCAGTGCACACACGTGCCAGGGCTCCTGTCCTCCATACTGGTTCTTTCCGTTGCATACTGGTTCTCTTCTCTGAGACTATGCGTAAACCCCATTAAGTGAATTCCTCACCATCCCAAGGGTTAGTCTTGGGAAGCTGTCCTGCCTGCTACAGGTGCGGTTACTGGCTGGTGTGGTTTTGGCAGCCAACACATCTGCAATGGAGCTGGGGACCTAAAAGCAAGTGGTGTTTCAGTCTGAAGGAGAGAGCAAGTCAGGCTTATTAACAGACTCCGTATCCTGCCTGAGCCAGGGGCAAAGGCTGGTCTGTACCACGTTCACCTGCCTGAGATTTTTGGGGCCTTCTGAGCCCAGTTCAGCCTCAGCATAAATACACGCCTCTCTCTTGAGGCCAGTGGCATCCCTTGGTACCAGCAGGTTCAGAGCGTGCCTCTTAGCGGGCTCTCCTGGCTGGGCTTTCACTCAGAGCTCAGGAAAGAGATGGCAGTCCCACCTTTCAGAGGATGACGCCGGCCATGCCTGAAGGCCCATTGGGTTGGGACCAGCCGTTTGCTGTTGGGCTTCAAGTTGTCTGATCCCACTAACGCCCCTCCTTGCTTCTTTCCCCTCTCTCTTTCCAGCTGAAAGAACTATATGCACTGACGCAGCCTCAGGAAAACCCACAATGGCTGCCAAGCGCAAAGGCGGCCTGAAGCTAAATGCCATCTGTGCCAAGCTGAGCCGTCAGGTCGTCTTTGACCACGGGGGAGCCGAACAGGCACGAGCAGACAAGGGGCCGCAGCGGGAGAGCAGCAACAAGGACCTGCCTCAGCCTGGGACCAAGGAGCTGGGGACAGAGTTTTCAGATGGACTCAGCCGCGTGCAGAAGATCGAGGAGGACAAAAGGAGGGAGGTGATTGAGAAGTGGGTGAACGGGGAATACAACGAGGAGCCCTTGCTGGGGCGAGCGGAAGGGAAGGAATGTAAGGGCGCCGAGAGCGCGGAGGTGCCCCCCGAAGGGGTTTACATGGTGCAGCCCAAGGGTTGCAGTGACGAGGAAGATAACGGGGACGAGGCGGACGCTCTGAGGGGCTCGCAGGATGGCAACTTCTTGGATGACAGGGATTCAGACGGGACGGCCTCAAAGGACGATGCCTACCGGTCCTCCAGTGGCGAGACAGGCTCCAAGTTGGGGGGAGGAACCACCTCAGGTAAGCTCTCTGCCCCTTCCACCTCCCCACACAGGGCAGCTTCACGGTCGTGTTTTCTGTGGGACAGACAAAGATGTTGCTGTGTGTCCATGCCAGATACTGTCTGCACCTGGCAGCCAAGGTGGAGGGCGAAAGCCCTAATTCCCTTGTACGGGCCTGACATTTTGCTCTGGTGACCCTTCTGACTTTGCCTCTGCTTCAGCCTCCCAAGAGGAGTGTTTTGTTGGGGTGGATGTGGCTGGATGGCTCTTTTCAGACCATAGATCCCTTGGTAGGGTAGATCTCCCCCCCCACGGTAGACTCCCTCACACCATTCACATGGAGATAGCCGTGGGGTGTGCTGGTTTCCTGGTCACGTATTTTCACACGGGGAGAGGGGGAAGCAAAAAGCAGAGAGTGCCCTTGTGGCAAATCCCAGGTGAATTCTGCAGCAAATTCAGAGGCAGGCTGGCTGCGGCAGTGCGTTGCATTGCGGGCAGGGTTGTGCAAACACCCTCGCGCCCACGTGTTGCATCTTAGTGATAATTAACCCCGAGGTCAGAGCCGACCACGGCAGCCCCGGCCTGGGAGCGGGAGGGGAGCTGAAAGACAGTAACTCCTGCTGCAGCCCTCAGAGGTGCTGATCCGCCTTTTCCCCTGAGTTTCTCGGGCCGGGCCGGGAGCTCGGAGGGCTTTTGGAGGGAGCCCGAGGTTCGGGGCGGCTCCGGGAAGAGGCGTCGGGGGGGGGGGGGGGGGGGCAGCTGCGGCGGCCCCCGGGGCCCTCAGCCCGCCCGGCCGCACCTGCGGAGGCGGGAGCCGGCCCCGCGGCTCTGGGAGGAGCGGCCGCCGCGGCGGGAGGTAGGAGGTGCCGGCGGCGGCTTTTCCCGGGGGAACGGGCTGGAGGGGACCCCGCGGGGGGGAGGCCGAGCCGGGGCAAGGCCGGGGTGTCTGCACGTCCCCCCTCGGGGCTGCGGTCCAGCGCTGCCTGTCTTCATCACTCAGCCCTGGTTGGCCTACCGGCACCCTTGCAGGGTGTCAAAGAGCCGGTATCAGAGCCGCCCATCACACTCCCTTTTTGCTGCCGTGTGTTCCCTCATCCCGGCGGAGGGGTTGGGGAGTTACCCTCGCTGCCGGTGGGGTAGCACACCCTGACTTCGGGCTCCTGAAGCTGCCGGTTCCAAATCTGTCTGTCCCCCACCGCTTCGCTCTTGGGATGCTGTGCAGTTGTAACATGTTTTACCTCAGGCTGTGTGGGCGTTTCTTTATTTTCAGATAGCTTCTAACCTTATTTTGGGGGTTCATTTAAAAGCTGACTTCAGCAAGAGATGTTGGGGAAAGCCCCAGATGAATTTATTTCTTTCTGATATCCAGGTTCCCCACAGATTGATTTTGGGGGGCGTACGAGTGCTAAGCCTCGGTAAAAGCTTCAGCTAAATTGAATTCTCTCCATTAGAGCAGAGAAGCTCGCTCCCTCCCCCCATTTGTCACTCAGCTGGGTTGGATCTGTAATTGAAAGATCTCCCCTTAATCTGCTCCACCTGCACGCACCCCTCCCCTGATCTCAGCACTTTGTGAATCCATCAAACTTTCCTCCTTTTGTGTGTGCGCATGTTTTCCTCCTCCTGTTAATAATGCAGCCGAAACTCATCTCCGTCTGTCCGTTCCCCTTCTGGAGAGGCACATTCTCTAGTCTTCACGAGTTCAGTGGCAGCGCACATAATTATGCATATAAGATATAAACAGAGCTGTTTAATTATCCTTCGCCACATCAGTGACAGAGTAATTAACAAACATTGCAAGATCAATGAGGAAAAGTGTGACCTTCAGTTTCCTTTGATAGGAAAGCCCTTGTCGTTCCCAGACACAAGGTGATTGTGCCTGGACTCTGTTTTTAGTTTGTTTTAATTCCTTTCCCCACCCCCCATTTGCAGCTTTTATTTGCTATGAAAACTAGGAGGGGAACTTAAATGTAAAAAATACGTTACCAAACTGGGCAAAACGAAAAGGAACTGAGGTTTCTCACTGGGGTAGGAGTTCTCAGTAAAATGCTTTTGTAGGTCTGTATTGTCAAAGGATTATGCAAAAATATATCAGCACTCATGGGGGGCTGAAGACTCGTTTATGTTTAAGGCAGGTAATGGTACATGCAGGGTCCAGTTTACATATACAGCCACATGGGATTTGACTTGCAAACAGACGTGCTGCCAGGTCTGGAGTGTCTGTTTCAAGAACCCGGTTGTAAATGTGGTTTGCAATGTTTCCCTGGAAAGCACAAACTGAAACATCTCTTCCTTTGGAAAGGACAAAGTTCTTTTCCTCTTCTGTCTTTTTCTGTCAGTGTTCCAGAAAATGGATTTTAAGCTGTTCATCACTGAGTCCTCTCAGACCTGGTATTTCCTGGGTGCAAGTTAAGTTTATTCCAGTGAGATCTGGAATTGCCTATACCAAAAAGGAGGGGTTTTTTTCCTGTGATCTAGGGGGGGTAGCAGGAGGCAGTCAGATCAAAGGAGGGGAACACAGATCTGCCCTCCCAGGCGCTGTGGCTTTGGGCAGGTCATCTCAGAAACCTGGTTTTGAAGTTTCTGAGCACCCATTGCTCCTCCTGAGGATGTGGAGGATACAGACCTGGCAGTGCTCAGCAGCATTTAAAACTGAGCTCATACTTCTTTGATCAGCTGAAAACTTGGGTGAGAAGCAGGGGCTGCACAGAAAAGCTGGGCTTTCTTGCTCACTGCGGAAAGTGATCCTAATTCTATGGGGCTGAGAAGGGTTCCTGTTCCCTGGAGTCCCGATGTGTACACACACAGCCTGCTTTATGGGACTTCAGCTACTGCTCATGTCCTTCACTAGCACCTCCTGTAGTCTAATGCCAAATCCCTGCCACCTTGGTGTCCTTCCAGGGCCAGTGAGGCTTGCTGTGCATCACGCAGAAGTTTGCAGAGACTCGGTCCGTGCTATTCAGTTCTCATGCTTTGAAACAAGATGGGGAACACACATGTATGGCATCCCTGTCTCTCTGAGGCATTGCTTGGAAACAAGGGACTGAGTCAGTGCTCAGTCTTCCCTTAGGTGCCTCTGTCTCTGGTGCAGCTAGGAAACATGTTCAGGAGTCGCAAATCTGGAGTCTGTCAGGAGATGGGTGTCAGAAGTTGATCTGGACATGCAGATATGTTTCTTCATTCATTCATGCACCCTCTCCTGCCCACAGACTGACCCCACAGTTCTCTACACACATTTATATATAGCATTTAGATTTCCCAGTACAGGGTCTGACAGAGATCCCTTTCCACAATCTCACTGACGCACGCGTACCCAGGGAGATTTTCCTATACAGTCCCGTGTTCTTTACTCTGCACGTTACTTGTATAGTGGGCTAAAGTAGTCACCAGGAGCTTTCCCCTGTACAAGCTTCGAAAGTTCTTTCTTTTCTTAGCCTGTTGGCGAAGTCTCTTAGAGAGGGTATATTGGACCTGTTTTCAGCAGGAGGGGTTTTCTCTTTGTAATTTTCTGGGGAGACTCCGTTTGGGAGAACATGCATGATGAGTGCCAGTTTCTTGCTCATTATTCTATGGACCCCAAGTCTACGTGTTTTCCCTCCCAAGCAGAATAAAGGACAGAGCCCTGGCTGGGATGTCCCATCCCCCAGTATCCAGACCTTGCACTCCATTTGGGCTGTTTTGCTTTTCCTTCCATATATAGTGTGCTGCTGCAGGCTATTTTTAGCCCCTTTTTTGCTAGCTTCGGATCCTTTGTGATACGATAGCTGCTCTGAGACACACAGATCTCTGCTCTTTAGCAATGCCCACAAATGGAGAGCAGTGGCAAGGGGAGAGGGAGCCCTTTTATTATCACATAGAAAAAGAGAGAAAAATGTGGTGCAGGGGAGGGGGAAGAAGACCCAGGGACAGTACTTCCTGTGGCTTCCAGGGCTGTGCACACAGGGATTTGTTTCCCAACTGCTGTCCTGCCTCACTTTGTCTGCGTGTGGGTATGAGGAGGGTTTTCTGTCAATTAGGTACTAGTAATTACTTCTTCACTGTTGTTTGAAAGTGTATGTGAAATGAGTTGGCTGGGTCTCATACCATCTTCGTGGTGAGACAGCTCCCTTCCATAAGGTGCCTTCAGCCTTTTGGTTAGGTGCCCGTGCAAATAAATGAAGGTTGTCTTGTCTTTAGGGGATGTGTTGGTGGACTCGTGCTGGGATGAGTGAAGGTGAGCTTGCTAGAGTAGTGGGAGCTGGCCAGGGTTTCATCTCAAATGTGGATGAGGAAAGGCTGAGTAGCACTGGCGAAACGGTTGATCAAGGAGTGTATTGCGATCATCTGGAACCAAATTTGAGCAAAGGAAAAGCAGAATGTAAGGTGTTTTTGGGGACGAGAGGATTAAATCCAGGGTAATGAAATCTGAACTCAAGCTTAGACTTTGAAAAGCTCAAAAAAAGGTGTGAAAACTCCCCCTTTCCTGTGGTCTTGGGTTTGGCGTCTAATTGTTTGCACCAATTGAGGTCTAGCCATATGGGTACCAAAGATGCTTTCCAAGACCCAAGTTTGCAGACGACAGAAGTTTAAAAAGGAGCTGGTCTCCTACAACATTTAATTTTCTCCAATATTTCAAGAAAATACTATGTTTCACTGAATCTCCTCTTGAAATTTGTAATGCCTGTGGGTCCTGAACCGAGCTGGGATTTGTAAAACTGATTTGAGATATTGGGCATGAAAAAGAGGGTCTCCTCGCTTTTTTCATGTGCTGCAGGTTAGGATAAAGAAGAAAAGGGATTGTCTGGATTTCAGGGCAGCTGTTAAAGCTAGTAAGATTCACACTTAATAGTTTAATTTCCTATCAGATCCTCTCTGTGGTATTCTTTCTCCCCTTGCAGTTTGGCACAGACTGGCTAGAGTTTTTCTGTGCAGTGCTTGGAAGTCAGCACATTGTGAAGGAGGCTAGGGGATTGTTTTACAAGTCCAGAAAGAGAGGAAAAGTAGAACAGGGGAAGCAGATTTAACAGAAACAGGGAAATGTTAGACCCAGTAGGGATTTCACGGATTTAATCACTTTTGTTGGGTCATAGGGTTACACTGGAGGTGGAGAAGAGAGAAAAAGAGGTAGAAAAGAGAACTGCTTTAAAGCAAGATGAAATTCTTTAATATGTGTGTGTGTGAAAGATAAAGTTGATGGCTTTGGTAGAGTGTTTGAGGGGCCACGGGAGAGGGTCAAATGGGGAAGCACAGATTAAATGATCCTACCTCTGAAGATGGAGTAGTACAGCTGTTCCTTGTAGTTTCATTCTGAGAAGTCTTGTTATTGGACACTGTGGGGCGTTTAACATCCTTTAAGATTAATACTGACCCATGAGGTTGTGCTACAAAAAGCTACAACCAGAGCCAGACACTGCAGGGACATTGCCACCGATTCTGTAGCAAGCAGGGAGTTTATTCTGAAGTCAGGCATCCCCAAATCCCATGCAGGATGCTGGGCCTAAGTACCCAGAACTGGAAGGTCATTTGGGGCTAAACCAGATCCCAGCACTCACCAGGTGTGTCTTTGTGCTTCTGCTTGTAGGCTTCAGACATGTCCTTTGCACTGCCTTTCTCACGTACCACGTACACAGGCAGCTGGTGCAGCAGCACTTCTGCTACATGATCACAGCTATACCGGGCAATATTGAAACAGGAATATGACCTTCATGGTCTTGCACATTTTAGTGCCCGTTGCAGGCAGTCTCTTCCTCTGTAGAGTTCTGTGGGAGCTGATTTGTGGAAGCTGATGGCTATTGAACTTCAACTTCGCTCATTGACTGGGTCTGATGTGCATGGAAATGCTCTCATGTGTGTATGGCTGTGTGTATGGCATCGTTGGCTGTCAGATCCCCTAAATCCTAGGGGTCCGTTCTCATGCTTTGGAGCTGCTGACCTGTTCAGTGGCTATGTCTTGGTGCCTTTCTTTTCCATTATGTTTCAAGGCAGTGTTGATTTGGTTTGAGTGGGACCCAGTGCCCAGCACCTCCATTCTGCTGCCAGTGTACCTGCCTGTGCTGGCTCCCTCCGAACGAGTGTGCTTGCCGATGAGAGCTAGAATGAGTGATTGGAAAAGATGACGAGGGAGGATTGAAGGACTCCTGCACACAGTAAATCTTTACTCTGCAGGAGAAAGCAAGAGGGAGAGGAGGAGGAGCGCTGTGTCAGACTGAAGCCTAAATGAGTCCAAGCTGGCACGTCAGAGCAATCTTTATTTCTTCCTTTACACTGATATTGGGTGACCTCCAGATGTGTGTTCTTCCCCTCCTGGTGGCCTGTGAAACTGCCTGAGGGAGTAGGGGAGGGAGGAGGGGAGGGAGAGACCCAGGGAAGGACAGCTTTTGCTCATTCTTCCTCCCTGTGATCATGCTCAGGTAGACTAACCCCTTCCTGCCCCTTCCCCACCCCACGCTCCAGAGAACAGGCTTTCTTTATCTCTCTGGAACCCACACCAGGACAACAGCTCTTTCTGTCCTCAGTGTGAACCCTGATGGAGAGAAGATTGTTCCTTACCTATTTTGCACCTGTGTGGACTTTTCCCTTTCCTGGTCTTACTGGAAGCTGCTCCTGGCTGCCCAGGATGCTGCCTGTAGGTTTCCACAGCCTTCACTGAACTGTGACCCCTTTTCATGTGGAGAGTAGTAGCTCTCTGGTCATTAGGACTGGGAAGGAAGGGAGCAGGTTGGGTGAAAGAACTCTTACAAAATGGACACAGAAGGGAGAACTGCAACAGCTACAGGGAGCTACCCTGTCTTTGTCTTGCCTCCTCTTCTCCGCTCCTCGCCCCCCCACTCCTCACTGCCAAGCTTCTCATGCACACAGCCTTCGCCGCTCTTCCCCCACTTTAATTCATCTCCATCTCTGCTGCTTTCCTTCCCTACTCTGCACTTTCCCATTCTGCCCTCCTCCTGCTCCACCCCATACGTTGTCTTGCCCTGTCTCCCTTACCCGTTTCGCACCATGCTGTCCCTGCCTGCTCTCAGCCCTGCTGTTCACCAGCACACATACCATATCTCACATTTCTACCCCTGCTTCCACATGCAGACACGCTGCCATCTATCCTCTGTGCACCTCCTTCCATATACAAACACACAAGGACAGAACTGTGCAAACCTGGGCATATTGGCGTTGGTCTCACTTCCAGTAAAATTACTTTTTCTTCATATTAGGCCAAGGCAAGAGTGCAGAGACATTTATGAAACTTTGTTTAATGTACTGAAAAGCCATCGGCTAGAACATTTAGGAAATTGATTTTCCTGGCATTGATGAACTCTTTTTATTTTACCCCAGTATTAATTACTTTTTTTTTTAAAACAAATTAATTTAAGAGTCGTAAAACCTAACAAGTGAGCCAAACGTCAGTAGATCATGTTCCCCTCTCCCCTTACTCCCCCTCCCTGCTACTAGTGCTGGTATGGGAGGAGAAGAAAAACCAACGCCTTGCATGACTCTCTCACTTTGGTTCTCTGTAGGGGAAGCTTCATCGCTGCGAGATTATGCCGCCACCACCATGAATGAGTTCCTGGGCATGTTCGGCTATGATGATCAGAACATGCGGGATGAGCTGGCCCGCAAGATCAGCTTTGACAAGCTGAACGCTGCTACCTCAGAGGCCACTGCGACTGCTGCTTCTCTCCCTGGCGAAGATGCCATGAGCAAACGAGCCCGCTTCTCCAAGTATGAGGAGTACATCCGCAAACTGAAAGCTGGAGAGCAGCTCTCTTGGCCCATGCACTTGGCCAAATCTGAGGAGCTGGGCTCCAAGCTGGGCAAAGAAACTTCCTCGGTGCTGGCACAGCCCATTCGGGTGCCAGGTCCAGATGCCTCCATGGTGACGGAGACCAAAGCCACCATTCTGCCGCTGCCCTCTCCCAGCAGTTCCCAGATGCAGGGCCTGATGTCACGGGCCTCCAAATATGACTTTTTCATTCAGAAGCTGAAGACGGGTGAGAGCATCAGGCCACAAAACGGCAACACTTACAAGAAGGCCTCCAAGTATGACCTAGAAAACGTCAAGTACTTGCACCTTTTCAAGCCTGGAGAAGGAAGCCCAGATATGGGGGGAGCCATCGCCTTCAAGACAGGCAAGGTAGGCCGGCCTTCCAAGTACGATGTGAGGAACATTCAGAAGCTTACTCCAGTAAAAGCTCCAACACCCAGTCTGGCCCCTGCTCCCCTCGCCAGTACCCCCAGCAGCACTCCTGTGGCTGGGCCAGAGCAGTCCGTCTCATTGCCATTCAACACTCCTGAGTACCTGAAATCAACTTTCTCCAAGACAGACTCCATCACAACTGGAACGGTCTCTACAGTAAAGTAAGTGTCCTCCCACTTCTCTTATCCTTGTATTAGTGGGGGATCATACCTAAAGTCTGTGTGTGGATCAGTGGGCAATTCCAGTTCGTGTGGTGATAAATACTGCCCTGTTCATGTGATGTTTCTTTTTGCTCTTTGTTGGAGTGTCTGCTCCTCTGTTGCACCTTACACCTCTAGTTATCTTGTTTGCACTAAGGATGTGGCCTGCAATCAGCAGTCACAGCTGTGAATCTAGAGCCCACTAGCTCCTGGGTTCGTATGTTAAAATGAAAGATGAGGGAACATAGTGCTGTCAGCACGCTAAGGTCAAGGTTGTAACTACTTTACTTTCTCCTTTTTCTGGTTCCCCAGGCATCCAGCTGTGTCTGTAGGAGAACCTGATTCTTGCTTCCATTTAACTCAGTGACAAAACTCTGCTGCCTTTACTGTTAGCAAGATGGGGCTTTTTGTTAGTCCCAGAACTCAGAAGACGTTTTGGTGCCTAATTCCTAGCAACTCCTATGCCTAGGAGTTAGGCATATACATACTTTCGTGGGGCCAGGCTTGTGTCTTCTCAATTTGCTTGTTCCTTACACAAATAGAGGTGATTCAGTTACCCCTTGGACTGGGCAAACTCATTAGCCCAATTACCACTAATAACCTCCTACATATACGTTGCTGGCAATCTCTGCACTGATGCTGTTGACTGAATGGAGATATCTGAAGGCCTTGCCAAACCTTGGACTATGTTTTAATGTGGCTTCCAGAGGTGGTAGCTGTAGAAAAGCTACATATGTTCATGAGGCTGCAAACAGGGAGGAAGGGAGGGACTCCTCTGCTTTCTTGTCACGGTTTACATTTACTTGTTTCTTGCTGTGGATCTGGGCCTGTTGTGAGCTGTGAATCCCATGGTGTCATTTGTACTAAGTCTAGGACCTCTGGCCTGTGCTTCTGTGGCAAATGCCATTACATGCACCTTACTACTTCGCCCTCTGGTAAGGAGGAAGGCTGTATTATGTTTAATGTGTGGATCTAGGAGGCCTTGGGCTGAATGTGCTTTGGAGTCTTGGGCAAGTCTGTATCCCCCACTTTCCATGTTTCCCCACCTGGAAGGCAGAGCTCATGATACCTGTCTTCCATGTGAAACAGTCATTTCGCAACTGCCTGCAGACAAATTTGGGAGCTTATGGTTAAGGTGTACTGGAAAGGGCAGAGGATTATTATCATTTGCATCTGGCCCCCACTCAGGATGAACCCTGTATGTGCTCCAGATGGCAGGCAGGACTCCTGTTACTGAAAAACACCATGTTGTAAATATTCCTGTAGGCACAGTGCCTTGTTGTGATGGGTGACTTGGCCAGGGACTCTGTGCCTGAAGATTCTGCAGAACGCTCTGCTGCCTGGAGTTCAGTGGCCATCCTAGAGCTGTGTCTGGGGGGCTGTGAGCCTCTTCTATCTGCTTTGGTGCTGCTCTGGGATCCCAGTTTGATTTCCTTTCTCTTGCTCATTTCCTGCTGCTTGCAGATGTGGGTTCGCAGCACCATGGTGATCTCTCCTCTAGCCACAGGACTTCCTCAACTGCGGCATCATGATGGGGCTGCAACACGAATGGAGGTGACCAGGGGCTTTCAGCCTGGCAGTTCCCAGTGTGCCTGATCACAGACTGGAGAGCAGAAGGGGCTCTGGTCCCTTCTCCTTCAGACTGCTTACTAGATACAGGCTTCCATGATAAAAGAAAGCAGCCCGTTAATTGTGCTGGTGGAAGAAGTGTGAACTGTGGTATCTGGGACCTGGCTTTCCATTCACAGTCCTCACTGGGACCAAAGAGCCTGTCAGTAATTACTCCTTACTCTTGCAAATGTGCACATATACCTTAGCCATGGGTTTAAACTCTCTAGCATCTAATGCTATTAACCTGCCCTGAACTAATCTCCCTACTTCGAGTGAACTCTCTGCAAAAGTGTCCTTGTTTAAACCAGGCTACAGAGCTGTCATGAGTAGGAGGGGAGGTTGGGTGTGGGCAAAACTGAGAAGGAAGATTCTGTACAGCCTGTCTGGGATTGTGTTGGTATGCTGCTATCTCTTAGGTAGGTTGGAGTCTCGCCCTGTATCTCTTTCCTCTTGCTGAACTCATCAAAGATGTAATTTTTATCTGCTTCCTAAGGACGTCGAGTAACCCAGGCTTATGTGACAATTGAGTGCATTTGGGTTGGTTTTCTCCTTGATTAAAATACATAAATACCTTTGCTGCCCCGTCTATCTATTGGAGTTGGGGTATCTGTGTGAAAAAAGAGGCAATTAAAGCCCCATCTAGGGACCTGTAGCCATTGTTGCCAGTACCAGGTAGCAGTACACTGTGCCTGCTGGGCTGGGAAATGTGCAGTAGCTCACGGCGTGGCTGAAGCACAGAGACTCTTCTCCCACAGTTGAGCCTGGAGCAGACGGGTCTCGATGACCCTTCCGTGCACGTAAGGGCAGTGTTGGAAGGTGCTCCAGGGAGGTGTTTGTTTTCATGTAGCCATCACTTGTTTGCTTATGGGTATTTAGTTTTTTTCTTTGGAAACAGGTTTTCATGGTTGGTCTTCTCAGTGTCTTCAACAAATGGAACCACGTCCTAAAAAGAGGGAACATGCAGGAGGGGGGTGGTAGGTGAACTGTATGGTTCCCTAGGAAAAGAAGGTACAGGATTTGAAGGGGAAGGGAGGTTAAACCTATGGGTGTCTTTGCTGGGTACTCTTCCCTAGGCCCTCTCTCCTGATGTGCCAGTGGTGTGTGAGAGAAACAAGGAGCTTAGACTGCCCTGTTCCTGCTTGCTAACCAGCTCTGCCCTGTGTGTTTTTCATTAGGAATGGATTACCCACTGACAAACCAGCTGTCAGCGAAGACGTAAATATTTACCAGAAGTATATTGCCAGGTAGGCAAAACTCTTGACTTTCTTGGGGAGAGGTCTGGAAGTAAGAGGGTGGAGTGGTGGTGGGAGAGATGAGATCTTGTCCATCTGGATCAAGTGTTTAAACCAATCACTGGCACTTCCATTTCCCTCTGGCATCAGTACTTGCTCTGTTCCCCTTCTTGGGAGAGCAGTAGCTGTGAGAGGTGTACGAGCATGCCAAGAGCATGCTGGGCTCCCCAGAGCTGTTAGACTTTGTGACAAATAGTGGAAAAATGTTTGCCTGCAGAAGCCCAGAATTTGAATGGGAACACTGTCTCTTGACTGTCGTTCTGTCCATTGGTGTGCTGTCTCCAAGCCTTTTTCCCCTACCATGTCCACTGCCTGCAGGAGGCAAGCAGAGAACATCTCACCTCTGAGGACGTAGGCTGGAGGAATTCACAAGTGACTCAGATTTACGCAGGTCTTGGCATCAATGCGGGATGTTTATCCTAGAAAATTTTGCAGCTCATTTATATGAGAAACCCTCACTGAGTAAGGTGCAGACGAGGGCATCTTATCACAGCTGTGGGCAAGCGTAGGTCAGGGATGAGCGATGCTGAGAGGGAGCCCAAGGCTGTTGTGGTGAGACAGTGAGTAATGCCACGAGAGCCAGAGGGACAGAGGAGATTACTGCATAACACCTGCCTGCTTTATAGCTCACGGCATAGAGGGTCCACCAGCCTTTGCCCCGGCCTGTTGAATCCTCCATCTGTACTGTGAGAAAGCTCACTATGAAAGCCCCTTGAATGCAGAAAAACACCAGCCCGGGAAGCAAGCAAACACTTCTCTCCAGAGATAAAACTGAAGGGTTCGGTCCCACCAGCACTTGGACACTTATTAACAAGAGGGGAGGGAAATATGTACTGTGTTTTCCCACCTTGCCAGAGTCTACAGAGTCTCCCTGTGGGAGGCAGTCAGGTGCTAGGAAGGTGCAAGGGAAGATCTTGGCACATCAGCAGGGGAGAAGAGTGGAAACAGTGCTCTCCCTAGCTGGAGAGTGGAATGAGAGGGGATTTCCTTTCCTCCCTTTTGCCCAAATCCCTCATGTAGGAGCGGGCAGAAGACCACATGGGAAGAGAGGACAGTTGCACCACCACATGCAGCTCCTCAAGCAGCAACACCTCTAGTGCATGTGGCAACTCGCTGCCTCCCAGGAGCGCACAGGAATGAAAGCAGGGGTTTGAGCCCATCTTTGCATGGGACAGAAGGAGCAGCTCCCTTTCATTGCCAAGATTGCAGGAATGGCAGATGTTGCAGTGAGAGAGGAGATGCCACCCCTTCTCTCCCCAGTTCCCCTGTCAAGTAGAGAACTGCATAAACACGTCACCCACACCCACTCTTCGTAGCGCTCTGCAAGCCCCTTCCCCTGGGTCAGGCAGGTAACTGAGGGAGGCTTGTGCGATAGCTAAGGGACACCACATCCTGCTTAAAAAGCTCCGCAAGCCACCCGTTGGCAGCACAGCCACTTCCCTTCAATTTACACACAATTTTAAAAACAGTTTAAAGCCTTAAAATCAAGGGGGGGGGTGTGGGGGGGGGGTGGGAAGAGACATGACACTCTATGTCTGTACTGCATAATTAGCTTAATGAGTTTGCCAAAGCCACTGCCAAAAGCTGCCCAGGGATAATCCATTCTCTCACACAACAAAACAAAACCTCTTACTTAGCTAGTTTGGGTTGGGTTGTTTTCCCCCCCCTCCATATATTTATAATTAAAAAAAAAAAAAAAAAAGACCACAGAAAAAATTATTATTATTATTATTAGTGCCTCAGCAGATGGTGCTTCTGGCAGCACTTGCTTAAATATTTATTTCTGTGTGGGTTTCCTCCCCCCTTGTAATTGGGGTGGGTTTTTTTTTTTTCTTCCTTCTTTCACATCATCGTTACAGGGTAATGAGTCTGTAAACACTCTCTAAGCATGCTGACTTCTTTATTTATTATTTTTATTATTATTTATTTATCTTGGTTTTTCTTTCTAACTCTTGCCAGATCAAGACTAGTTCTTTCTGGCCAAAAAAAAAAAAAAAAAAGTGATCCGATTAATGTAAGGGAAGGAGGAGGGGGTTGTTCTTGTGAAAATGAATCTATGTGCCTGTGTGGACAATTTAGGAGTTTGGATTTGCATATCAGTGTGATTAAATGGTCTGTGAATTTGCTTGTTTCAGGGGTGTGTGTTTGTTTGTGTGCATGGAAATTGTGGGTACGTTCATGTAAATTAAGAGGGTTGTTGATGTACCTTAGACTATGTGCATGTAAATCTGCGCGTGTGTATGCGTGTAAGTGAGTGTGTGGTGTATAAGCTTTCCTGTTATGAAAAAGCTAAACAGATGCTGTGCTTTAAAAATTAATAGCTTTGAACTGTTTCAAGTGTCAGAAGAAACACAGGATAAATATAACCCTTTAGGAGCCTAACCTCGCAGACTGCAAGAGCAGAATTTCCCCTTTGTGCTGTTTGCCGCTTCCCTCCTTCCCCAAGCACCTGGTTTAGTAGAACACTTGCCTCTCCCTTCCTGTGCTGCAGACAGCACACACACGCACCGCTCCGTGGCACGTGGAAGGGCAAGTAGGAGTTGGAAGTGCTAGAGTGCTTGTTTAGCTGTTGCTTTTAAAGCTGAGCCCGTGACTTTACTCCTGCCAGGGTGCTTCAGGTAACTCATCCCTGTCAGATCTCTTCGGTGTCTGGCCCTTCTTTTACTGCAGTTGGCATCTCTTAAATTTTGCATCCTCACTTTTGATAATATTTTGGACAGCTTTGCTTCAAAGGTGTGTATTTGTCAGCAAGGTTTTTATCTTCCTCTTCTCTCTGCCTGGCCTGTGCTCCACGGTTCTCCAGCCCCACACAGCCCTTTGCTCTCTTCCCCATCTCATCAGTGGAATAGGGAGGAAGCTTTCCCCAGAGCAGTCTCTTTCCTTTAAAGCTGCTTGTGGTGCTGCTGACATAAAACCCTGGACTAGCAGGACCAGTTGGTTCCATCTGCTGCTGAGCTGCATGTACCTGGTTAATGCCGTGGTGACTCAGGCTGCTGCCTGTGCCCGGTACTAGCCTCGCAGTTGCCCAGGCGTTGAGCAGGAATCGCTTCCTCTGCTTTCAGTTCCACACCTTTGTTTTGTGCAGCCAGCCTTGCTGTTTGCCTTGTGGTTTGTTTCTTCTCCGCTGCTGAGGTTTGTTCCAGTTTCTCAATCACCTGTTCTGACGTGATCCTGATTTCCTGCAGTATTTCTTCTCCTTCCCCAGGGAAAGGCATGTCTGCTCCTGGCATCTGTCCCTGTCTCCCTTTGTGAATGCTGAGGCAAAGAAGTCATTTAATTTTTTAGCAATGTCTATCTTTTCTGTCAATTAAGTCTCCTTTCCATCTCTTAGAGGCCCTTCTGTCTCCACAGTTGACCTCCTGTTCCTTACTGTGCTTCAGAAATGCCTTACTTAGTACTGCTTTTCATCCTGACTTTTTCTATCCTGTAGCTTAGCATTACCTCACCTTATGATGATCCATAATCTTTCCTGCTACTGCCCCATTCCTTGATTGCCCCAGGACACCCTCGCTCCTCTCATTTTCCCTTTTTATCTATTGCCCTTCCTTGTTTCTTTCCCATGCCCTTTATCATATGCACTCCTGCTGTGTTTAGCACTAAGTGACGTGAGGAACCTTTGAGGAACCTTTGAGCAGATGGTACTTTATCTTTGAATGTTTCCCCTCTGAGTCCCCCTCTCTCCACTGCTATTCCCTTTCAAGCTCTTCAGCTCTTCCAGGGTCCTCTAGAATACACGTCAGAGAGTTCATTGCACTGATTAGCCTGTTACTGGATCATCCTCTTTTGCCAATTACTGATGTGTCTGTCAGTCAATACATTCTATATACTGTCTGTTTGTATGTAGATATTATATGGCATTTCTGCCTTTCTGGGTTTTCTTCCACCCTGTATGTCAGGAGTTTCCAAATTTGCTGTGTGGAATGCTCAGTGGTGGCCTGAAGGAATGGGCTGGGTGCGTGTTGTTGGCTGTTGCTTCTTGTGTCCTACTTTTATTTGCACTCAGAGGCAGGCTGAAAACCTTGTTCTTTTGCATTGCACTATTTTTTGTTGTGAGCAAATACTGTATTCACATAGAAAATAATGATTAGCCAGGCTGTCGCTCATGGGAGAAGATATACACACAGGGTTGCGATGTAAAAGCCTGTAACGCTTCGTTCTGTTCCTGTTGATCCATCTCGCCTATCTTTCCACTGATCTGTCCATCTTACTGAAAGTTCTTGTGTAATCTTGCCATGATCATCTTCTATCTGTGTGGCTTACCATCTAATCCCCTGGTTTGCAATCTTCTCTGAAGTGTGACACCATACTGTGATAAAAAGTCTTGAGACATAACTCGTACAGACAAACGAATGCCTGAGCTTTTCTGAGCTGGATGGGCATATACCTGAAATTTAGAATCCATATTTGACTAACGTTTGTTGGTCTCCTTCTGACATGGGAGATTTCTGAAACTCACTGCTGCGGTATCTAAACTCACACATGAGAATTTTAGAATTGTATGATATTTAGTTCAAGGAACCCTCCTTTCTTAGTCATCCTTAAGTAAGCAACTTAGATAATGGAGATGAATGTCAAAGGGAAGGACAGATTAGGGATGCACAAGGCCTGAATGATCCTGCTCAAGAAGCACCTTTAAATAGTGACAAGAAAAGGGAGGGTCACCATCCTTGGAGGGGATAAAGGAGATGGGGTTTAATGCCATAATACGGGATGAAAGCAGGAATGAGACTTAATTTATTTGCAGCTTGCTTACAGGCACTACTGTCAGGACACTGGTTTACTCTCTCTCCCTTTCTTTCTTCTGTCCTCATGTTTGCAGGTTCTCTGGCAGTCAGCACTGTGGACATATACACTGTGCATACCAGTATAGAGAACATTACCACTGCCTTGACCCAGAGTGCAACTACCAGGTAAAAAATGGTAAAAAGTTATCAGCACGGCTACCTGAATGTAAAGGGAACCTAGAGGAGATGCGTGTCCTCCTGTGCTTTTCTCCCCTGTGCACGCACATGCCTCTTCACTTTTCTGCTCTGAAAGAGAGCAAGGTATATTTTGAACTTACTAGAAGCCTATTTTGTTTCCATTTAACCCAATCTAACACCATTTAACCAAACCCAGACCGCTATAATGAAGAACAGAATATAGATCAGCTCAAGTCAGTGGGAACTACTCCAGATTGACATCAGAGAAACCAAGAGAATAAATTCTGCTGTGTTACAAATTGTGCTTGAAACTAGGGAATGCTGATCTGTTAGTCTGTCTCTCCCTCCTGCTGCCCGGCTGAGATTGTAGCAGCAGTATCTGCAACAAAACACCCAATAAGACCAGCAGCAGGCTGGGATTTGTGGGGAAAGCGTGGGGGCAGGAGCATGGGCGATGCTGTAATTCCTGGGAGAACTGCCAGGGTAGGACGTCAGGCCAGTCACGTGCCGTGTTTGTTTACCCTCTTCCCAGGTCGGAGCTTTGACGCTGCCATCGCTGTGGTCAGGCTGCCTGTGTGTAAAGGGAATCCCAGAGTTTGCCTCCACTGTGCGTCAGGCACAACTTCAGCCCTACCCCAGGAGGCCTCTGGGTCTCAAAGGAATGAGCCTGACCACAGCGTAGGAAGTTGATCTGGATCTGCTGAGCTTGGCTGTGGGTTTCTGTTGATCAAAGGAGAGTTTGTCTCTGGGATGCCTGTAGTGGGTCCTCGGAGCCCAGCATTTGGTAACCGAGATGTGTCTGTCCCAACTGTGACATGGATATCTCTGCACCAGAAAGAGAGGAACACAAAGGATGGAAAGACAGAAAAAACTATTATTATGATTGGCCTCATGATTATTTCCTAAGGAGTCTGGAAGCTGCTTGCAAAGGAGCTGTCTGGTCTCACAGGGAATAAGGATTTAGACTGCTTTTTAAAATGCAAATTATTTTATGGCTGAGATATATTTTAGAATAAGTAACGCTCTGTAATAAGTGGGCACAAATTAACGATGATTGGCAATAGCAATCCTGTATGTACGTCCTGGGAAATCATACCTCCATCCTCTAAGGGATTCCTGTTGAAGTCTATATCCGTATATTCCTGTGCCAATACCAACGAGATTGATCAGGATTGATATTATAGGAGGAAAGAGTGGAAGCGATAATAATTTGTTTCCTATGAGGGAGACTAGAAAAGTTGTTAAACATTAGAATACAGGCCTTTTCAATTACGCCTCAAAACAAATGGATATTGATTTCTTTTAAAAAAAAATCAGATTTACTTTCCCACCTTCACTGTTAAATATTGATGTCTGTGGGAAATAGAAATGAAAAGCTTCATTTTAAAGGCACTTAGTCTGCTCTGACAGTGGGGTACCCCTTCATTACTTCAAGCAGGTAGAGGATGAAAAGGATATTTTGGTCATACAGGTTCAGCTCTGAGCTCTACTACCGTCCTTTTCTGTGACTGGAAGAAAGTTCTGCGTCCCTCTTTCCCTAATAAAGTCATCCTACCTTGGAGGGGAGGCAGAAGACTTAGAATGGGAAGATACTATAAAAGAGCAGAGTGTTTTTCCCAATTTCTAGTCTGACATGAATGTGACAGCCAGTGTCTTGCTAACCACTACACTGAGTGATTTGGAAGCTTGGATTACTCTCTTGTAGGCTGTTTAGTTCACTGGTTTGCTTTCTAACTATAGCAGTTCTTGAGATAGTAGCAGCTAAAATTATGTTAGAAGAATTGCAGTCTTAAAGCTGCAGGGAGTGCATTCTGGACATCGCCCCAGTGGTATGTTTACAATTTTTCATGTGTATGTACTTTCCCTTTACCAAGAAGATACATGCACACCATTTCTCTTTAATCTGACTCTCTTGGGGTGATTACTGCTGAGCTTTAAACTCCTGGTATCATAAGTTTATTAACAACAACGACAAAAAAAACGACCCTGCCCCCAGGATTACTCACCCACTCCCATCACGTGTGTCTCACTGTCTGTCTCTGTATCTCTCCAGAGATTCACTAGTAAACAGGATGTGATTCGGCATTACAACATGCACAAGAAACGTGATAATTCCCTCCAGCACGGCTTCATGCGCTTCAGCCCCTTGGATGACTGTAGCGTGTACTATCATGGCTGCCACCTGAATGGGAAAAGCACACACTACCACTGCATGCAGGTAACAGCTCGACGGGGGGATAGGCGGTAGCACACGAGGCAGATGAAGAGCCGTTGTTTGAGCTGTGTCTCTTTTGGGGTGGACTGACAGGATTCTTGAGTTCAGGCAACTCAACATTTCCTTGTTAGAGAGCAAAGGGGTGACATTCATGACCTCTCTTGCTCGCTTCTGATTCAGGCACCTCTTTGTAGAGTCTGCCCTGTCCTCACTGCACTTGCCCTGCCAAGTGTTGGGAAGGGCGAAGGGAAGCACCACTCTCTTTTTGGAAGCCTTGTGCATGCAGTAAGGCAAAGCAGGTCTCAAGGTTTTCTGACAGTCTTGGACTTCACTTGTTCAAACAAGTCCTGTTCTCTGAGATGACACTGCGCTGCCTCTACTCAAATCTGATCTGTCACTCCCTTGAAATCAGACTTTTCTGTGACACATCTGCCCTTTTAACACTGGGTTAATTTCCTCCATAATCAATTTCTAAAGTAACTAAGCTTTAATGTCACATATCTAAACTTAACCCCTCTGGCTCTCCATCCCCTTCAGCAGCGGTACTTGTCTATGGTGTAGGCTGGGAGATTTGTTTCACGAGCCAGCCAGGCTTCAGCAGCAGCGTAACCAGAGTTGGAGTCGCTGCACAGATGTAACTGTGATGCGTTTACTGTTTTTAGACACAGACACACCAGATTGTTTGGGTCTTACCCTGATCGTTCTTCAGATCGGAGGTTTTGATATGTACTTGTTTCATTGGAATTGTGGCCTGAACTATTGCCACAAGAATGTGCTATAGTTACAAATAGAATAATCAGGCAACCCTTAGTGAAAGCTTTTCTGTTTTGAAAACTCAGGTCTCACTTCCTGCCCTATCCCAACAATTTATAGACCCCAGTTAAAGTCACAAGTCCTTAATCACATGCTTAAATGCTTTGCAGGGATAGACTTCAGCATATGTTTAACTTGAAGTCAGGTAAGCTTTCTGAAGTCAATGGGGCTTAAGCACATACTTAAATGTTAGGCATGCACTCAAGTACTGTCCTGAATAAGGGTTGGTTTAAGCATGTGCTTACAACATTTGATAAATTGGGAACTTCATGTGACTGTCTCTTGAGGACGTTTTCTGTTATGCTTCCATTATATTGATTGTTTAGTTTCTTTAATTGACCAGGATGGGATTTGTGTAATTTTTTTTAAGAGTATGAGGAGTGTTTCACAGCTTTAAGTCACTCTGAGTTCGAACAGAGACCCTCGTTTACACAACTATATATGGGTAATTCCATCCTGTCCCCACTGTCTTCCAGGCAAATAATGCCCATGTAAGCAGTGTCTTACAGGAAAGGTGTCTGAATATAAACTCCCAATTAAAGAAAATACTGCTTAAATGGCAGAATTTGTGCCATCCATCTCCGGGTGTTTTTTTTTCTTTATGTCCATAATTGGTGTGGATAAAATTCAGTTAGTTGTTTATATAAACTGACATTTTTTTAGGCTTTAGCACCAAGAGCTGCATTGCAAATTATTCCTAAGGAGGTTTTTGTTTAATTCTTTTTTTTAATGCTGTGCAGGGTCTGTTTTTTTTCAAGGTGTCAGTGCAGAGAGAGAGAGGCTCTTTTATATTGGAAATAGCTGGAGATACTTTTTTTTTTTTTTTTTCTGGGTATTTGTCATGGGTTTTGTTATTGCCTGTTTGAATCAACCTGGGCTGAACTAAGAGGTGGTGTTTTCGTTCTCTTCACTTCTGAGATGGTGCAGGCATTGGCACACGTTGTGCTAGAGAAGAAAAGGAAAAAAAAAAAATCCTCCCTCAGCAGGGCTGAGGACGTTTTCAGATTCCAGTGTTTTTTTACTCAATATGGCAAAGTTGCCCGCTTTACCCAGAGGAAGGCAGGTTTTCAGCATTCCGTCCTCGTCACACCATTCCCATTTGCTGCACGAGTTTAAAATTATTGAAGTGGTAGTCTTGAACAGTGACTGGGAAAAAAATGTCACCAGTTTGCTAAGATCAGCTGAACATAGGGTTTATGCTTTGCTAGAATGAAACCCGTATATTACAAGCTCAGAAGATTGGCCTTATGTTGCACCACCCTGTCTTACCTCCCAGAAGGACTAAAGAGGTAAATAACTCATTCCCAGTCAATTTTGTATTCCCCAAATAGATGAAACTCCTACTTAGTTCCGTGTCGCTCCAAGATAACAAAAAGTAATGGCATCTGTCAGTGTTCTTTTCTTCTTAAGAGCAGGAACCTTGCTTACTGCCTCCCTAAGCAGACATGATTATCTGTAGCTGGTCTTTTATCCCTTTGCATCCTCCCCTTTTTTTTCTTACTATTTCATGCCCAGAGAATTTTTTTTTGTTTTTCACAACTGCTCCATCAGTCTTTAGATTGGGAGTTAAAGTGATGACTTAATATTTCTAGGAGAAGTGCACAAATGGAACTATTAAATGTATGTGTGCTGCTCATATGTTTATAATTGCTGGTAGTAATGGTAGGCTGTTAAACACTGTGTTGATGACTCCCTGTTTTGGCCTGGGGTAGGTGGGTTGTAACAAGGTCTATACAAGCACCTCTGACGTGATGACCCATGAGAACTTTCACAAGAAGAACACACAGCTCATCAACGATGGGTTTCAGCGGTTCCGTGCCACGGAAGACTGCGGCACTGTGGAGTGCCAGTTCTACGGGCAGAAAACCACTCACTTTCACTGCAGGTGAGACAGCAGGGAAGGGGAGGAGTCCTGCCTCAGAGTTGTGTGGTCTGTTTGCCTCCTTCTGCCAAGACATAAATTCAGGAGTATACACAGGGGCTTGATTTTCCCTGCTGTGACCTTCTTAGTACTGCTCTTGAGAGAACTTATGCTCCAGGGCAGATGTGATTTCCAGGATCTTGATACAGACCACTCTGAAGGCAGGAGTGTGATCTGAGGAAAGGTTACCCACTAGAAAATACATCCTAGAATCATTTGGGAAAGCGATCACAGTGCTCTTCGGAGTTTGACAGAAGTAGGCCATTAATAGACTGCTAATGGCACTTCCATGCTAGAGTTCTCTCCAGCCAACAGTCAGGCAGCTCATCCCTTTCAGGGCCAGCCTCTGCCTTTTGTACACAAATGCTCTTCTATTGATTTCTCGTGTTCTCAGGAAGAGTAGGAAAGCACAGTTTGTACCTTAGTCCCTTTTAGCTGCTGTTTTGGTTGGAACTTTTAGTGGTGGGTGCTTGCATCCTTGTGTTATCGTGGCTGTTCCTCAGCGGGGAGTGAGCTTCCCAGCTCTCTCACATGGCAGCATTTCTGCTTGCCTTAGTTTCACAGGTTAACCCACGTAAAGCTCCTCGAGCCCTTTGCAGCCAGGGCCATTGTCTCTTGCTGGTCCCAGTCCTTATGCCAGGGGGAGGCAGGTGACAGCAGTTGTGTTGTGCTCCTAGCCCACACAGCCAACCACCCTCTCCTCCTCGATGCCCTTGCAGGCGACCTGGGTGCACATTCACCTTCAAGAACAAGTGTGACATTGAGAAGCACAAGAGCTACCACATCAAAGATGATGCCTATGCCAAGGACGGCTTCAAGAAGTTCTACAAGTATGAGGAATGCAAGTATGAGGGCTGTGTCTACAGCAAGGCCACCAACCACTTCCATTGCATAAGGGCGGGATGTGGCTTCACCTTCACCTCCACCAGCCAGATGACCTCCCATAAACGCAAACATGAGCGCCGGCACATCCGGAGCTCGGGAGTGCTGGGCCTGCCCGCCTCTCTCCTGGGGTCCAAGGATAATGAGCAAGAGGAGTCCAGTAATGATGATCTTATTGACTTCTCTGCTATGAGCTCGAAGAACTCCAGCCTGAGTGCCTCCCCCACCAGTCAACAGTCTTCCGTTTCTCTCATAGTCCCAGCTGCACCCTCCTCTGCTGCTGAGCTTGCTTCCTCACAGGCCAGCAAGTCTGCCAACAGCATGACACCAGCCACCAAGATCTCTGGCCTGCTCTCCCAGGCTCTTCCCAGCAATATACCCTTGGCCCTGGCACTCTCCAACTCGGCACTGCCTGGAACAGCTGGATCCTTCTTCCCCATCATCCCCAGTCGGGTCTCCACACCGCTTCCTGCCAGCTCAGCTAATCTGATGACTGCTGGTTCTTCTGGCACCAATCCAACTTCAGCTGCTCCTACAGATTCCTCATCCCAGGCAATTTCGGGATCCGGTGAGCCAGCGGCTACTTCTTCAACAGCTCCAGCAGCATCTATAATGGAAAGGATCTCTGCTAGCAAGGGATTAATCTCTCCTATGATGGCCAGGCTGGCAGCAGCTGCGCTCAAGCCCTCTGTAGCACTTGAAGCAGGTGAGTTATCCTCATCAGTTGTGCTAGTGGTGGGAGGAAGAGCAGTGCCTGATGACTTGGAGAGGAGTGAATGAGAAGCCACCCAATTGTCCCTGGGACTGGAGGTGGGGAGGAGGTGGTAGAGGAATGTAAAGGGGAGAATAAATTTGGTGATGTCCAGCTACCCCTTGAAGAGGGCAGTCTTGGCGTGGTTTCCTGTGGAGCCTGGCTATTACCCTCGTGGCCAGAAGAGAGGCAGGAAATGCAGCTTTGGCCACAAATAGAGTAGGTTCTTTCCAGATCTGAAGGAAGAGTGTTGCCATGTGTATTTCCTAGTTTGCTGTAGGCTGAAGAGAGGCACTGTATTAATGGAAATGAAGAAAAAGTTTGGCCAATACTTGCAGGCCATACAGCAGCCTAAGCCCTCTTCTGCAGATTGAGTTTTGGCTGGGCCTAGTGGTGTCGATCCTGCAGCTCATTGACAGTTGTTTTTCTGATCTGGGGGGTTGGTTCTGCACTCCAGCTCTGCTGTCCCAGCTGTGCGTGTGGAGATCGTGTTGGTGCAGTCCACAAACCAGACATTTCTCCCATTCAGTTCTTGCAAGCTGTGCCTCTGTCCCTGCAGCACCCTGAGCTGCAAGGGGCAGCGACACTGTGAGGGGGGTAAAAGCTGGGACAGAGAAGTCCCCTGGGGCGGCCTGGAGCTCCTCTTGCTGCCACTTAGAGCTGGGGCTCGGTGCCCAGTCTGTGCCCAGCCCTGCCAGGAGGGACGTGGGGCTCCCTCAGGAGCACAGGGTACCTCCACAACCTCCCGCTGAACATGGTGGGCAGCGTGGGGCCGTGGAGGGGGGGCTCTGCCTGGCAGCACCCCATGGCGTTGGGCAGCCCCACAACCTCCTTCCCCGGGGCGTGGAAAGACCAGAGCAGGCTGCTGGGCCCTGGGGCTGCGAGTGCTGCCGATGCTCCCTTCCACCCAAGAGCAAATAAGGGAGTAGGACGAAGTGATCTGATTAAAGAGGGAGGGGAACTTTCACATACTTTTAAAATTATTATTTGAAAAATTGTTTCCTAAAGCAGAGAAAGGTCATTGAGGGAACTATTTTCCTTTATTTTTTAATAAAATGCCACTTGCTGTCTGAGAAGCAGCTCGCCGTCAGCTGTACTGCCGGAGGGTAAATTAATATTTTAGTCACTTGGGGATTGTGGAAAAAAGCTCTGCAGACATGTTCCTGTCAGCAACTTTTTTTCCCTCCTTTTTTCTTGGCTGTTCTTCCTAATTTTTTTTCTTTAATTTGCTCTCCTGTTTCCCCCTCTTCCCTCTTTTTTCTCTTCCCTTCATTTGAGTTTTTCTTCCATGGGCTCGGCATTAAACCTCCTCCCAGAACAAGAATTCCCCCTTTCTGCAGGGAGGACGTGATGGCGGTGGCGAGAGGACGCGCAGTTTGAACCAGCCCCATTGGCTGTCACCTTCGATAGCCTGGGCAGGGCAGATGCACCTGCTGGGCACGCGCAATGGCGGCCAGCGCTGTCGCTACGGCAACGCTGGGATTGGGGACGAGGAAGGGGGCTTGACTAGCAGTCGAAAGCTGCCACATTGCCTGAGCATTAACAGAGTCTTTAATAAACGCTTAAGAGGCAGCCCCGCAAATTAGTTATGACAGTTTGTGCAGAGAATCAGGTCTCCCCCACGCTCCTTCCGCCCTTCTCCTTTAAAGGGCCCATAGCCTGGACAACTTTGACATAATTTTGCAATAATTATCACTTGAAGAATTTCCACGCTGGAGTGGACGTCAGAACCCATCATGTCAGCTTGGCAATAAACGCTGACCAGCAATCCCAGCCCTTCCCTCCCCCCACACTTTCTTTGCTTTTTCCACTTCTGCACTGGTGCTAGTGATTTAACTTCCTTATTTGCCATTGTAACCTCAGTTTAGACCTTCATTTTTCATTTAATTTTTGCATTTGATTTCGGTGTCTTTCTCAAGCAGGGAATGGACAACCAGCAGCTCCCGGACGGTTCAATCCAGTTCAGGTGAAGCAGGAACCTGCGGAGGCCATGGGATCGTCATCTGCCACCGGTCAGGACTCCTTGCAGGAGCACAGCTTGGACCTGAGCGTCAAGGATCATGGGTGAGAGAAGTGCGCAGGCGGGCACACTTAGCTCTTTCCAGCATCAAGCTCTGACAAGTGTCTGTACCTGTAATATGAGAGGACACAGTGTGTTGGTGAAAGGCAATTCCACAGCGGCCGAGTTGGACGCCCCCAAACTGGAGGCAGGGAGGCTCTCTCTACTCCCTCTCAAGCGCATGTTCTCCAGATGTTTTTTGGGGCTCACAAGCACCTTCTGACTCTTTGACAAGAGCCTCACCTCTTGCACTCCCCTCTGAAAAACGAGCCATTGTCAAAGCTCCTTCTTTCACTTAGATATTCCTGCTGTTGTCATCAAGAGCTGGTCGAAGGCTGCTCCAATTCCACACTTCAGCACGCTTTTAGCAGCAGCATTTGCAGTGATGTAATGGGGCACTGAATCAGGGGTGAGAGAGGCACCTTCCAGGGAAATTGGCCACACAAAACAACTGGGTGTCAGGCTAACTCTGGTCTGAGTCTGGCGTGTGCTAATCTGTCATTACGATGATGAATCTTTGCACTTGTGCAGATGTGAATGCACCTATTCCAAGCGTGTGTCCCACTTGTCCAGCATCTCTACTGAGAATAGGAGTGTTTGGGGATTGTCCTGGGTGGAAAAACTGCAGAGGAGCTGATACTGGGGAAAAGTGAGCCTGCTCCACTTTGACCTTCGTATACATTCCTTTCCCTACTTTAAACAAGCATCAGTTTGGGACCCCAGCACTTGTAGCCTACTGCAGCTGTTACTGATGCATGTGGAATACTGAGGTTGCCTTTCAGCACGCTTAGCCGTGGCCATGAGGATTGTTGCTTTGCCTTCTCCTCTGCTGCCGAGGTGGCCTCTGTCCCTGCAGCATGAGTCTTCCTCAGCATCCCCCCTGGTTTTGTGGCTATTTCTCAAAGTTCTAATGGGGTGAAGGAGTGAAATGTGGGGTGGGTTGTGAGTCAGCTAATAAAAAAAGTGTGATGGTGTGGACACTGGAGGAAGAGGTCTGGGCTGCTGAATAGCTGAAAGAACTACATTCTGCAGACTTGGGACCCTCTTTCTATCACAAGTAAAAGAGTTTGGCCTGCCCAAGGGAGGGTGGGCATCATTCTCTTCCTCCGGATGCAGCAGGTGAGGAGTGCGGCAGTTTGAAGGGAGAAGGATTAATCTCAGTGCTCACAGTCCCTGTGCACATCTTAACTAAACCCTGTTGGTTTGTGTGTTCCAGTAATGAATCAAATGGCCACACAGTCTCGGCAAATTCATCTCTTTTATCCTCGCTTATGAATAAGGTAAGAGCCATCCATCAAACGCCTTTCATTCCCCCCACCAAGAGAAATTAAAGCTGCGATGGCGGGGAGGGGGGGAAGAGATGCGTTTGTTTTTTAATGTTTTGCCTCTAATAAGATGAGTTTGTACCATTTAAATTTTGAGACCATTTTTCATCGGGTATAATTTCAGAGCCACTGCTTACGAATTAATTTAATGAACTGGCTGAAGAAATATATTGCAGCCTCTGACACCTTTTTTTTTTTTTTTTCCCCATCCTTTCTAGACAGAGGAGGGCTCCGAAAGAATTTTTTTTTTTTTTTTCATTTTTATTTCCAGAACCTGGCAACTTCTCTCTCTCTCTTTTTATAGTTACTCATTTTGTTTATTTACTTAAAAACATTTTCTTTCACTGGGGGAGGGGGAGGAGAATCATTTGTTTTTATGAAAGAAAATAAAAACATTAGAAGTTTTGAGCCAAAATCATCAATTTCTGTCTATCTGGTGTGAGTAATGGTATCCAACAGAGCCCCCTTTACCATGTTCTAGAATATTTATTTTAGATAATGCACAGTTTCTTTTTCCTTACTTTTTCTTTAAATTATGCATCATCTCAAATATATATTTCCCTTTCACATGATAAATTCTACTGTACCAAGATTAATTTTGCTGTTGTATACAACTGCGGTAGAGATCAGGGCAGCCTTTGAGCCATGCCTTAATATTCTACTGTGTGATAGGTTTTGCAGGCATAACTATTGCCATCCCCTTGGCTCTGGGCGTTACATGCATCAAGGCCATATAACCCTCAAGAGAGGGCGAAGTGACTTTGCCTAGTAATCTCTTGCCTCCTTTCTCATTTCATCACATTTTTTCTCTGTGTTGTTTAATTTCTGCGTTTATCCTTATGCCACTTTTCTTCTTCATTGGCTCTCTGTTACACTGGGGTTTTGATGTTCCCTTTTAAACTTAATTTCTTATTTGTTTCTGTGTATTGTCCTTTTAGTGATTCCAAATATGCAGCTCTTTCTCTAGTGAGTAAATCTATTTAGGAAGTCTGCAGTCTGGGGTCCTGAGTGCCCCAGCTCAGGGAAATTCTGTTTCAATAGTTACTTCACTTGAAAATCTCCAGGAGAATATGAAATTTAAGCATATGCTTAGAAATAAGCATTTGTGTGCAGCCCTGCATAAGATTCTGTATGTTGTGCAAAATATGTGTAGCATAGGTACAAAATAGGAGTTCTTCAGGTTTGTTCCTTTTTTAAAGAAGGAATGGGATTAACTGATGACATAAACCAGCACAGAGCCCACTGATTTGAAGGAGCCTATTCCCAAGACCAAGGATTGCAGAATCAAGCTCAGTGTGCTCAGGAACACATCACACCTGCTTCTTCCTCTTGTTGCACACAATTTCTGTTCCTGGAGGAATCCTTCATTATTTGTCTAGGAAAAAGAGCCCTTTACAGAAACCGAATGCCCAACAAACACCAATGGAAAAAGACAACCTGAATTTCTGGCTCCAGCCATAAAGAGTTGCAGTCTCCACATAGCAGCAGGGGCTTTACCTTCAGGGGGCATTAAGAAAGCCTCAAATAGCCAGGGCTCCTGTAGCGTATTGCAGTTTATTTAGGGGGCTGTCAGGCTTAATTAACTGATATTTATAAAGGGCTACAAGATCCTCAAGTGGGTGGAGTTTGTAATTCAAGTATTGGGCCCAATCCTGCCTTTTATTCATGCTGTGAAATTCACTGTTGTTACTGGAGGCAATGGAGAATACAACAAAGCAAGAAGGGGTCTGGGAAATTGTGCTTTTATTCTGAAAGAAAATTTTTTCTCTTAAACACTCTTGAGTAACTTCTTTTTTCTTGCCTGCACATCATACACCTGGACCTCTAAACCTTCTCTGTGTAGAATCTATTTGAAGCCTTTCACACAATGCAAATTGTGAGTCCAACTTCTGCTTTGTGGGGGACATGTCCATTTAGCACAGCAAGTGACATAATTTCTTTATTGAAGTTAGTAAGAATTGTCCAGGAATTTTTAAGTGGAGCCAGGATTTTTACCCAGTTGAATGAGATTTCTCCCCGCACCACCACCCCCCCCCCAAATATTCCTGACAGTCACTTTAAAGAATGAGCCATCCTTGTGGCTGGGGATGAGATGATTCTAAATAAACTAGAGCTTACCAGTTCTATCACTAGGTCTGTACCAAGAAACCAGCATTTTGTAGGAGCTCTGTAGGGCTGTTAAGGTTTAAGGCTGCACACCTTTTCCATACTCAAATTGTGTATGACTCTCTTCACCTCAGTTTCCCCACGTATAAAATAGACATGCTGTTTCATTAGTTTACACAAGAGCCATGAATATTAGACGGGCACCTGAGTGAGTACTTTGTGATAGTTGGGTGGAGGTTGCAGAAGAGTGAGGTGTTACTAAGTTTGCTGGTGCAGTTGAGGCAGTCTGCACAGACTTCTTGTCTTCTCTCTTAATCTTTGAAGACACAGCTCTCCGTGGGACAGTCCTGAGGGAATCCAGACTGGCAGTGCCCATGGCATTGTGCTGGGCTTGATGCAGTGTCTATGTTCTTCTTCCAGATGTCCAAGACCAGTGCCAGCCTTGGCAACCTGCTCAACATTAAGACGGAAGGAGATGGCAGCCAGGCTGGGGCTGGAGAGCCAACACAGTACTTGGGCAAGGCAGTGAAGGCACTTGTCCAGGAGAAGCTCTCTGAGCCATGGAAGATGTACCTGCGCCGGTAAGGAGAGCATGGAACTGGGAATAGAGGGAAGGGAAAATTATTTCCTTTGCAAAGTGTCTGGCTCATTAGTTCACACTTGAATTCAGAGTTCCTTTGAATTTAAAGGCCTAATTCTGTGATATTCTGATCACTTTCTGGGGTGCATTTAGTCCCCAGTGCCAGCAGTAGGTGTTAATGTCCTGTAAGAAATATCTGTGCATGTAGAATTGTTTTGCAAAGGGATCGAGAACCAACTATGAGCACAGATCTTCACACAGGACTGTCAGCCTAGACTTCATCTTAGGCATCTCTTTATGTCCCTGGTCTGCAAGTCCAGGGGACACGCTGCAGCTTGCTCTTAGCACTGAACTGCTGTTGGACCGTCTTTGGTTATTATGCACAGATCACAGAGGCCTTAAATGCTTGCCGTGGCACTTCCTCTGCTCACAGTAGGAGGCCACTGAAACAAAATAAGGAATATGGAATATAAGAGGTATGGGAACTGGGATGGTTTCTGCTGTTTTTGTTGTAGACAAGAAGGCTCGAAAGGAAAATGGAGCAGATACAAAACTCACCCACACACACATGCACATACATGCCCAGACAGAGACATGCTTTGAGCACACAGATACACCCAGGCAGACACATACGGGTTTGTGCTCTGACACAGATAGCTGCCTACAAATGTCTGGACACTTCGTAAATCACAGACTTTAATGGAGAAGACTAAAAAGTCTTCTGGTCCATCTGCCCCTGGCCAGTGTGAGATCCTTCCCTGCAGTCCATTTGCATTTTGTCCAGCCTAGTTGTAATTATGCCAAGCAGTGTGGCTATTTTCTTGTCTCTGGGAGCACTACTCTACCACCTAATACGTTTCACTGTCATAATTTTTTTCATGGTATGCTGCCTGAATTTCCTTTTTTGTAATTTTGTTGCAGTTCTCCTGGTCATATCCCCTTGAACCACAGCAGATAATTTCTTTCTGCAATCAGAGTTCACCCCCTTCAGATAGTCACAGACTTCTAGCATACCATTGAACCAAGCTTATTTACTTCCTTTGATCTCACTTTGTAAATGAGTCCCTTCAGCCTGCTGATCGTCTTGTTGCTGTTGTTGTTCCTGCTGCTCCCTGGACGGGTGCAGAACTGGGCTGCCATTCCTGTATCACCACACCAGGTGTAACAAGATTTCTGCCCCCATATATGCAGCTCACAACTGTGCTACCTTGTTTGCATCTATACTGCATAATGTATATGTATCATGTTTACCGTCTGCTGTTAGACAGGATTGCTTTTAATGTTGCTCTCATGAGTCCCCTATGTATAAAAACACCCCCCCACACACGTCCCAGATGTATTAGATGTATGCTTCCAAATACGACTCTTGTATTCTGAACCTTCTCCCTTGTCTTTCAAGGCCTCTGTGTTATTTCTTTTCCTCTTGCACTGGTGTTGCCAACTCCTCCCAGTTCGGAATCTTCTGTGAATTTCATTAACACACTGTTTACTCCTTCTTCTAGATTGCTAATGAAGATGTTAAATAAGCTCAGGCCTAACCAAAGTCATCCTTGCAGCATTCACAAGATACCTCCTCCCAGCTCAATATGTTGCTGTTTGTCATTAGCCTTTGTTTACGGTCCTTCAGCCAGTTTTCAATCCATGAGGTAGCATTCACATCCAGGCCAATTTGAATTAATTCTAAGCGTACATGAGACCGTATCAAAATGCTTTACTAAAATCCAAATATATTGCATCCCTTCATCCACTAATTTTGTAATTCTATCAAAAAAAGCAATTAAATTTGTCTGGCAAGATTTATTCTTTATAATCCTGATGCTGTTTATTGCTCATGGTTCCTTTATCCTCTAGATGTTTAATGATTTTCTCCTCCCTCTTAATATTTGTTCCATTACTTTACTGGAAGGAGAAGTTAAGACTAGAGGTATGATAATTGCCAAAGATCACTTGTGGTTTTTTTCCCTGAGAGAATCAGTACCTAGATTTTTTTTTTTTTTTGCCGATTTCCTACTACCTCCCTCTTCTCTATGGCTTAAAAAATAGCAAATAGTAATGCAATCAGTTTGTGAGTTAATTTCCATTGCACTTCAGGACATACATCATCCAGACTGGCTGATTTGTGCATATTTATATTTTCCAACTAGTCCCTTTATCTGCCCTTCTAGAAGGTCTTCACTTTATCCCTAATTGTCTGCTTTGTCTTGAGTTTTCCTATCCAAAGCAAATTATATAAAGCAGCCATTTTTGATTCATCACCTTCCATTTTTATTGGACCTTCATTCTAAGCACAGTACCTCGTGTCCCTGATAAAACAACCCCTTTAGCTTGCAGTAACTTGGTTTCTTACCTCTTACCAAACCTTTGTTTTCCTTCATCTTCTCCCTGCAAGCCTTAACTGACCGTGTGTATTCCATATTCACTGACCTTCTTTCTCCACTAAAAGTTTTTTTTTTCCTTTTTCCTTTACCCTCAAATTGTTAAGAGGTCCCTCCTGGGACCACGCAGGCTGCTGTTTGTTTCTTGCTTTCCTGCTCATCAGAGCAATTGTAGTTTGTTGTATCTTAATTATGCAAGATTCCACTGCTAAGTTTCAAATCCTTCCTGCCAGTGTTTTTTACTTGATTTCTGGATTCCCTGTGATTCTGGAGTTTCCTGAAATCACATGTATTTGTCCAGACAATCTCAGCAGTGGATGAGCAGTGAAACCATGCTTAGTTGTTTTTGTCCTCTCGACTGTTTCCTCTAAGATGACAGGAGGCATATCTTAGACAATGGCTTTTGCTCTGGTTTTTGCATTGCAGCATTGTTTTGTCTGTACTTCAGGGATTGTGCTTTTCAGTATTTATGCATACTAGGCTATAACTGCTATATAGGCGATACTACTTCTCTCCCATCTATGTGACACCCTGTTGTTTTAAGGAGGGGTGGGCAGATTCTGGATCTAGAACTACTGTTGTTTCTTCCCTTTTGATACTCCCAGTAAATTGAAAAAGAAAAGCCCGTAGTGTTTCAACGTCTTTGTGGTCTGGATTGCCTTTATTTACTAACCTTTAATCATTCCTCAGAGCCTTGGCTTTTGTACATAGATGCTCAAGAACACTAATGATTTTCATCTTTTGTTGCAGAGTAGTTCTGTATTTTTCTTCCACTAAAAGTGAACGAGAGTTTCTCGGTCAAGTTCAATTGGAGAGAAATTAGGTTCTTGTTCTGCATGTTCAGATCTGTGTAACAGGCAGTAATCAAGCAACAATGCCAGCAGTGCTGTGTGCAGCAGGGATAGTGACGTTAGAAAAAAGAATGGTAGTAGAGCTGAAAAACAAAGAAAATACATCTGTTCCAACACCGTTTCTCTTCTGGGGCCTTCTGTAAGATGCCTGCTTGTCTGCTTTGGCCAGGTTTGGTACCAAGGATTTCTGCGATGCGCAGTGTGACTTTCTCCATAAGGTGCATTTCCATTGTGTCGTGGAGGAATGCGGTGCCCTCTTCAGCACCCTGGATGGAGCCATCAAGCATGCCAAGTAAGTAGGAGAGCCTGAGTCTTGGGAAACTCGGGAAAACTCCAGCACACACACTGCAGGAGAAGAGAGACCTTACTGAGTAACTGCATTGAGGAGCAGGAACGTGGGCAGTCCTGAGGGCAGCAGTTGGGGTATCCATATGCTTCCTGTGTAAATGTGCTCAGCTAAAATCTTTGCAGAACTCTGTTCTCTTTAATTTTGTTTCACAATAAATACGTTCCACTTGTGAAAAAATGTTGGCAAGGTTGAGAGCTGGACATTTGTGTTTATCCATAGCCTACTTGACGGAGTATGTTTGAGGAGATGCATATTTCCCATAGCACACAAGTACACCATACAAAGAAATAAGAAAATATAGGAGGGAGAGGACCTTGTAAACCCAGCCATTGTCACTGGATACAGACTTTTTGTGGAGTAGACAGCTCGCCATCACTGCAGTGTAGAGAACATTTTATTGTTCTTTGTCTTGTTATGACAAATCTCTTTTATCAAGTTTTCCCTAGCCCTTAGTTCATATGTTTTTGTTTAAGAAGTTCACATCGTGGGGATAAGGATCTTGAGATGAAGCAGTCAAACCGTCCAGCCCAACAGCAACCTCCTTTTCGCCTTGTCATGTTCTTATACTGTAAACCCTTTGTAATTTCACATCATTTGGAAAGTGGCAGACAGCTCAGAGTTGGGTAGCCAGAACTGATAATATGGTCTATATTACAGAGGCTGTACAGCATGCTCAGAACTTGTAGATGACTCTTGGGTGAAGAATGAATTTAAGATCCGCTCCCAGTGTTACTAGCAAAGGAAGGGTGGGATATTGGAAATTTTCCCTGTTGCAAATTTCTACAGAGCATTATCTGCACTTCAAAACCATGCCAAGTTCTTTTTAAAGGCAATGGAAGATTTGCCCAAGTAAAGAATGAGTAAGGCCTTCAGCAGCTGGCCACATGACTGATTCTAAAGGGGTTTAAAGGGAAGGAGATGTTTCAAATTTTAAGGCAGAAAGATCCATTAACACAGTTGGTCTCTGGTGTTGCATAGTTCCCTGAGGTTCACTACAACAAACCACTGGCTTCTCACACCAGCCATGGGAGGCTGCCCTCATAGGCATAGTGATCTTACTAACTGCGACGAGTCTTGTGTCTCTCTGGTTTCAACATGGGTTTTCACCCCTCTGTCTCCACCCCTCTTAATGAATTCCCTCCTCTTCACAGACAGTCTAGGAGGCCTCTAAACCCTTCCATAAAGTTTGCAGAACCCCTTTTAGGATTTAACCTCAGCTAATTTATTTGCAGACTCCTGCCACATTCTTGTTGATGTTTAATCAAGTTATATGGAATGGCGAGCATTGATATCTGAATTACATTGTCTTTTTGCAGTTTTCACTTCCGAACTGAGGGTGGAACTGTGAAAAGTAACTCTGAGTCTCCCTTCTCAACTGCTACTGAGAATAAGGCTTCACTGGCCCCTTCATCACCATCTGCTACTTCAGTCACCATGGCAAGTGCTCCTGCCCTCGACGTGCCCACTCCAAGTCCAGCTACTGTGCCCTCTGCCCCCACACTGCTAGCTTGGAAGCAGCTGGCTTCAACTATACCCCAGATGCCTCAGATCCCAGCATCAGTGCCTAACCTGGCAACTTCACCCTTGGCAACAACTTCCCTGGAGAACGCCAAGCCTCAGGTCAAACCCGGATTTCTCCAGTTCCAGGAGAAGTAAGTTGTAGAGGCTGCTTGCCTCCTTACGTCCACTCCAGCCTTGCACTCCACTCTTTATCGCTCCTCAGAGCCGTAGCACTACATCTGTGTTCACCTACTGAGAGACTTTCTGTCTAGAAAGTACTCTGGGCTTTATCTCATAGAAAATTTACTTCTATAGAGTCTAGAAACTACCTTCAGTTATCCTAGGAAAAAGGATTTTCAGGTACATCTGGGAGCACTTTTAGGTATGAGTTCAGAGGAGAAATAAACTTGCTGGCATATCACCGAAGCCTTTTTTATACCTCATGAGAGGTATACAGAAATACATGCATCTCTGCAGTATTTTTGACACTGAAGGCTACAGAGGAAGCATAGCAGCTTTAAAGTTTTTAGCGTGATGCCTGACTAGGCCACCTCCAGCTCTTGCTGCAAGTCTGAAACTCACCGTGAGTTTCTGGAGTTGAGCAAAAATCAGTGGGCAACTGAGTGCTTAGGCACACAAAGGTGAGGTGTTGCTGCAGCAAAGTACACAGAACTTAGATGTTTGCAGATTGCTGAAAAGGAGCTTGCTGGAGTAAGCTCTGTGGCCTTTTCCTAGGAATGCCATCTGTAACTCAGTATAATACAGCTGCTTCCTTTTCTTATTTTTGTTTTTTTCAGTGAAGAAGACTGGGGGTCAGATAGTGGAGGGGGCACAAATGCTTGGGCTCTTACCTTACCAGGAATGGATGTTTCAGCAGCTCAAGGAATAGGGAGCAATTCTCTCTCTCTTAAGATCAGTCAAAGTTTTGTTGTCCTGGCTGAACTTCTGTACAAGTGTAATGAGTCTCTTTAAACTTGGTGCCTCTGGTTTTGTAGTGTTAGTTTACAAAATAACTCACAAGGGAGGTGTCTGGCAGAAGGTAAGGTGCCTTGCTGAACTTCTTTTAAAACATTAAAGAAGTTTCACAGTGTTACTGTGATGTTGGTGTTATTTCTGTTACATAGAAAGAGGCACAGAAGTTACGTGGTTTACAGGAGGACATGGGAGTCCAGGATCAGGTTACACATTACAGCTGAGTTATTCAGGCTGGTGGAGTATCAGTCTCTGGGTCGTATATTGAACAGTCATTTGGCTGCTTTCAAAGAAGTATATTAATTCTGTTTCACGTATCTGCGTAGGTATCATTGGGTAGAGTGCTTGGGATCCAAGAGATCAGTGTTAATTACCTCCGATCTGACCTCTGTTTGTGTAGCCAGAAACCCATGGAGTGGGTGAGGGAGTAAGGTACCAAAACCATTTGGCTGGTTAAATAGGCCGCTGCTGATTTTGTCTATTGAGGGGAAGCCCTGGCACCTTGCAGTGTGCATGCCCAAGAGTTTCATTTCAGTTACACAAAATTGAGATGGGAGAAGCTACCTGAATCCACTGAGGTAAGTATAGGCAGAAAGGGAGAAACAGCATCTATCCAGATGTCGAGAGAGCTTTAAATTGGAATCGTGGCCCTCAAAGACTACAGAACCCACCATGCATTGCTGTATGTTAATAATTCTAATCAAGAAAGTGCACTAGCTTGGCGGAATTGCAGTAGTGTTGCCAGCATCAATTTTACTAAAGAGGAAGGTGTCTATGGGAAATCTGTAGGCCATATTTGGAACAGAGGCTTCAGCTGGGCTCCCCTTGAATTAAATTTTGGCAAAGGAACAAATGTGTGAAATGAGTGAAGGTGATGATTGGGTTTTGGATGTATTCCAGTGATCCCTGCCTGGCAACGGACTGCAAGTACGCCAACAAATTCCACTTCCACTGTCTCTTTGGGAACTGCAAGTATGTGTGCAAAACCTCTGGCAAAGCAGAATCCCACTGCCTGGACCACATCAACCCCAACAATAACTTGGTGAATGTGCGAGACCAGTTTGCTTACTATTCGCTGCAGTGTCTCTGTCCGAACCAGGTAAGAACAACAGCACTGTTCTGGCCAGAGTATGTGTGGGGGAGAAGAAGAATGAGAAAGAGCAAGCAGACTACCCAGTAGGAAGTGAGGCCAAGTGGTTCATTCCTGGTCTAAGTACAGAACCATGGAAGGGTCTTAATTATGTGGTCTAGCAAAATGTTCAGTTTCCATCAAACTGAAAATTGCAGTGCTTTTACCTTTCTTTGACTTGGGTGAAGAGGACAAGGCAACTAGAATGAGCTAAGAGACACAAGATGAAATAAAATAAAAATCTAAGATGAATACCAGGGAAAGCCAGGAGTTAGGTTTGGGATTTTCAGTGTAGAACAGTGCAATACAAAATACATGAGAGCAATACAAAATACATGGAACGTGGTTGCATTGCAGCTTGTGGAAGATAAAATGGATGTGGTCTGGAGTATCAGCTCAGGCCGCTCTCTCTTGTCTCAGAGGGACAGCATTAGTAGCCAGCAGACAAGAGTGCATTTGTTTTAGGCATGCTTAAAGCAACCTGCCTGTTTGCTCCTCTCCAGCACTGTGAATTCAGGATGCGAGGGCATTACCACTGTCTTCGTCCTGGCTGCTACTTTGTGACTAACATCACCACCAAGCTGCCCTGGCATGTGAAAAAAACATGAGAAGGCAGAGAGAAGGGCGGCCAATGGCTTCAAGTATTTTACCAAGCGAGAAGAGTGTGGCAGACTAGGTGAGTTTTCTTCTTTTTCCCCCATCACCTTTCTCATGTGGTCTGTCCCATGTCCAGACTAAGAATGCCATGAGTTAGAGCTGGTGAGTTATGCTTAAGATGTATTCGGTCATTAAATCACTAAACAAGAAATGTAACAAAACAGAAAGCAATTCCTGATCTGCCTGAGTTGAAGCATGTTTTCTGAAATAGACCCAAGTTTAATGGATAGAAACTGTAATACAGAGGATTTTTTGTGTACATGTATATGTTTGTCTGAAGATACAGCTTCCCCTTTGTTTTTCCTTTTCATCTAATTGTCAGGGCCTTTTTTTTGTTTGTTTTTTTTTTCTTCTGTACTTTGTAGTCTTTTGGGCCTCCTGCTTGTGCTGGGTGAAGTTTAAGGGTGCTCTTATAAGTTAAAAAAAAAAAACAAAGGGGAAATGCCTGTTCTGGTGAGTGCCTTGTGTGAAAGTCTTCCTGTACCAAGGAAGTTGCTGCTTTGCCCGATTCCAGGCAGCTTCAAATGAAACTCTGGAGTTTTTTTGCCATTTCCAGTGTGGCACATGGAAAGCCAAAGGGCAAATAACTGGAGACAGAGGTATGGAGAATGGCATTCAATGAAATGCTCCCTTCTCCTCCAAAACCACTTTCCACAGCCACTTGTGAGCAGCGGGGAATACAGCGCTGTGCCTTTGTGCCAGCCTCCCACCGGAGCACGGCCTAAGGAAACACCCGAGATGTGGCACAGCCTCAGACTGTGGCTTGCCTGCTTGCCAAAACTATTAGCGGCACTGCAGCGGTTATTAAAGCTAAGTGCCTCTAGTGTAAAGCTGGTAAAACAAAACGCACAACAGAAAGTAGAATGCATTCCCAGGGAGGTCTCTAGAGCTGAAAGCCAGGGCTCTGACCTGGGGGGAATCCCTAAAGATAGCTCCAGCAGAGCTCTATCCTGAACTGCCTGGGATTGACTTAACCCTTCGAGTTGTGTTTTGGCTTAACAGTATCCCAGGCGCAGTCCTACCCATCACTCCTGGCTCGAACAAAGGCTGAAACAAAACGGGGTTCAGAGTAACACTGCTGGGTGCTGTTCTCTCACACTGCTGGGAAACAGCCATGATACCCAGAACCAAACTTTTCTTTTCAGCTTTGAATACATCAAGAATTTATACCCACATGGTAGCTTGTTTGTGGTAACCAGGGTAATGAGCGTCAACACGCCACAGCCAGTACTTACCTAGGTCTCATTTACACATGTCAGTAGATTCAGCAGTTGCTGTTATTTACTCAACTTTAGGTGTTTCAGGTGATAGCAGGGGCTAGACAAAGCAGGACAATGATATATGACACCAGCCTACACGGATGCCCTAGCAACAGGCGAGCCTTCACCTGCCCTTTGCCGATACTGTTCAGTCCCGCAGCACTGTTTGTTCTCCCTCCCAAAGAACAGCCCAGCGCAGTGGGGAGGGCAGGCGAGGTGGGGCTGTGGGGGAGTGCAGTACCCAAACAAACATAAACTTGGCGTGCACATAAAACGCTATCTGTGAGCTAAAGATGGGCTGGGTGATTCAGGAGCTGTTTGGCAGCGAGGCATCTACAGGCTGTGCATGTGTCAGCAGCATTTATTTTTGGGAGTGATGGGGTACATGCATCCAGCAGTATGTACATACGCCCATAGGCTGGGCTTGCTGTGCAGTAAATATATGTTTAGCCAGCACTTTGCATTTGCCTATGTAGATACAGGCAGCATGATGGGATGGTGTAACTGGATGTGTTTGTGTAGGTGTATATGGTTATACCAGCATGTAAATGCTTGTCTACTTCTCTGTACATCTCTATGCTTTTTACAGTGCGTATGTAGCTACAGCAGGTGCAGAAGGCACTGGCCTGCTTTAAGGGCTGTGAATGTTTCCGAACAAATACACATGATCGATTATATTTTTTTTATATGTATGTTTGTGTGTGTAGAAATATATGCACACATGTATGCATGGGGAGGATGAGAGAAATGAAAAATACGTACATATGTAAGTAAAGGTAGACGGGTGCAGAGGGATGAGAGAGAGAGAGAGAGAGATAGAGATGGATGGATGAGTAAAACTGAGCCTGTCTGTAGGTCTGTATCTCTCTGTGTAAGGGTAGGGCCAAGGGATGATGGAGGACAGACAGAACCTGATTATTGATACAGCTGTGTTTTAACTATAACAAGTCATTGTCTATCAGCTATAGAATGCAGCTGTTTAGGATTATCTGTTAATGAGAGACACAAACTCCTGGCATGCATGGCACTATCCACGAGAAGCAAAATGTGTCAAGTGCTGTATGCTGGAACCCGTATAAATTGCTTGTTGGTTAGTAGCTGCCCCTATTGCACAACAAATTTGGAGTGGCAATAAACGCTTCTTGGCTCGTTCCTATCTGACCAGAGAGCATACACTGTCCAGAGCTAGAGCTTTTAAGAGACTGCTTTTCTGATAGCACAGTTAAAAGAAAAAAGAGAAAAAGAACTTTTCATTTCTAATCTAATTATGAGCATGTATTTTTGATTGTAATTTCTATGATACAGTTAAATGTCTTCATTTTGTTCGCTTTGTAAAGGAAAAGGCATTAGCTAAGAGTGGAGAGCATTAGGCACTACTAGATGTAGTGGCAATGTTCCTTTCTTTATAACAAAACGCAGAGGGATGGGACTAGTCTGCAGCTCAGGCTCCCTTCTTAAATCTATGTACACTGTAATCCTCTCTTGCAGTTGCTCAGCAGGCAAAAGATCATGTTTTTTTTCATACAGGACTGCTCCTGAAGAACCCCTGACTATTGATAATCTTCAGTCCCCCAGAAATCCATGTAGCAGCAGCCTTATCCCATCTCCAGACCATCTCCTCTACAGTCTCTTTCCCTCTTGGTACCTTTCATGTGCTACAAGTGATGGTTTTGTGTCTGTAGGTTGCAAATACAACCAGGTGAACAGCCACTTCCACTGCATTCGAGAGGGCTGCCAGTTCTCCTTCCTGCTCAAGCACCAAATGACATCCCACGCCAGAAAGCACATGAGAAGGATGCTGGGGAAGAACTTTGATCGTGTTCCTACTCAGGTGACTCACTGGTTATTTAAGTTGTGGATCTGCAGGTAGTGTGGGTCCCTTTGGTTGCTTGCTGCAGAACTGCTTTAGTGCCAAGACACTTGTACCCAAACTCTTAAAGATATATGTCTGCATTGGGGGATGCAGCTGGGATATGTGAATTCACCCAAGGTAGCTTTACCCGGCTGGACTTCTACAATACGGGGATAGATGATGAAGCCTAGACATCAAAGCATTACTTAGTGTAAACAACTTTTCTTTGTGAATTATGGAGGAAAAAGAGTACGGAGGTTAACACTAAAATACTCATATTTACAACTTGCACTCCCTCCACTCTCTCAATATATACCAGTTGGTTTATTAAAATTAAAGTGCTTAGGATGTGGAAGAATTGAACATGCTGGTTAAAGCAAACATTTCCTGTTGCACATCAAGAATTATTTGCTGCTTCCAGTTAGGATGGGAGAAATACGAGTCTTGAAATTTCTCTTCCCTTATTGATTTGGAGTTAGTTTGGGGCATTCCTTGTCCTCTCTCAGGAAGTAGCAGAGTAATGCAGTTGCTTCTTTTTTAACACATAACTGAGAGCCACTGGCAGATTAGATTTGTCTGTTCCGTGAATAAATTGAAGAGTTTCAACTGCAGCACCGCGCTGCTGTGCAGGATGGCAGCAGTCCTCCAGCCTCCCCTTTATTCTTCTTATTCCGTAGTTGCTTTAACTCCCATTGACTTGGGAGATGAAACAAGTTAGCTTTATTTGAATGCCTGTGACTGATCTGACCCTAAGGACATCTGGTATATGAAAAACAAAAGGGGCCATCTGTAGAAGGAAGGTTGGAACCCCCTTTCATTCCACAACATGGGAATGCGAGGTGCCTATTAGTTATTAAGTATTGTCCATAAGTTAATTGTGCAAGTCTATTGCTGTTTGGTTTAATGAGTTCACAGGTGCCAAGGAACTGGTGTTACTGTTGCAGTAGCTTTTGTTCTTAACACGAAAAGCTTAGGTGTAAGAATCAAACTTAAGAGAGATTTAACAAATAGATTTGTCTTCACTACTCTTTTAGTACATGCTGAGTCTGGCCCTAAGAATTCTAGTACATGCTGGGCAGAAAATGCTAGTTTTGACCTCCATCTCCTTCCACTGGCAATCCTGTGCCACTTCAGCAATGGAGAAGTAATAATCGTGGCTTGAGCAATCCTGGGAACATGCGGTGCCAGTCTTGCTGTGCTTAGCCCAAGCAGCAGTCCAGCAAACAACAAAATATGGATGAAACCACAAATCAGGGCATGCGGCAAAGCTAACCAAATTGCTGTACTGCCACTGCCTTTCTCCATTTAAATGTATTACCTCTGTTTTTTCCCGGGCTTTAGTGCTCAGTAGGCACTTAGTGCTGTGTCTGGATACACATCGTGACTGGGTACCTGCCCGTGTAACTGTCTGGAGAAGATTGTGCCACGGCAGGCCAGAGCAGCTGCATGTAACACAGCACACACACGTCACTGGTTTCAGTCTGTATTCCCCTGTTGCAGTGTCTCAGCATGCAGCACCGGGACAGTCCTGTCAGCCGTCATATTTCCAGGCTCTCAGTGCAGCAGGACCAACACAGTAAGGTAGTAATGCCAAGATTAACACCTCCTGTTTTTGAATGCATCAGAATCCACACAGCAGCATACTAGTGCCAAGATTAACACTCCCAGCCTCTGAGCGCATCACAATTCACATACCAGGATACGTGTGCCAAGTCTAATGCTCTGAGCTCCCACTGAAGGAAGATTCGTGCTCCTAGCCATAGTGCCATGGGTTCCACTCACGAGCATGTTCCAGCTATCCCTCCTGAACTGTGGCAGAGAGAAATAAACGTGCAGACAGATGGTTTTGGTCTTGGCATCTTGCTTTTGGTGTGAAAGTCCCCGTCCTGTTTTCTTGCTGCAGGTTATTGGCCACACTCCAAGAAATGAAAATCTCCCCCAGGTTGGCAGCATGGCACCCAGCCCAGCCTCATCAGGAACCCCAGCTTCCTTTCAGGGACCCCCAAGCATTATGGACACTGAAACAGATGAGTACATGGATTACACTGGCTGTAGCCCTGGGGGTATCTCCTCGGAATCTTCCAATATGGACCGCAGCTGCTCCAGCACTCCAGTGGGCAATGAAAGTACATCAGCAGGTAAGAGAGAAGGGGGTGGGTAGGGTGAAATTGCCTGCTGTCTTGGGAGATAAACTCGTGAAGAGAGGCCAAAGAACAATTGTACCTTAAAACATAAAACTGTACCAGCTTCGCAGTAGTGCCTCGTACTAACCTAGTGCCCTCCATCGTTTGTGAGAAGAGATCCATCAAAATGTGCACCTCAAGCATCCATTAACTAACAACGTATCTTTTTTCTCCCCTGAAGGGAGGTGGTTATCCTGTGTCTTGGAGTTAGATCTATTTTAATAACTGATTTTAAAAAAAAAAAAAAATGTGGGCCTCTTCTGTACTTGGCATTTCCCCCACTATCTTTTTGTATTTCCTTGTGGAGCATCTGAAGTCAAGCACTTTCCTGTACTGTTGAGGTACAGAAAGACTGTACAGTAGCAAATATTATATACACATGGGAAAACAACCTACCGCATCATCAGAAAGCAACATATAAAAGCAGCTCACTGAGCGCCCTTCCTCCTGCAGAAACTCTTGTTCTGCTCTGTGCAGTGTTGCACAGAGGAGACCTCCATCATCCCCTCTTTTGGGAAGTAACTTTCTGCCATTGTTTCCTATTTGCCAGGACAATGTGTAGCCATCTCCCGCTGCCCTGTGTTACAGGGTTATCTTTTCAGTAGTCAGATATCTTCTGTGAGTTCTGTTATCATCTAGTGGTGATCCCGGGATCTCGTAGCTGTCCTTCCCAGGGTTAAGTGTTACATTCTAGATAGACTGTCTCACTGAGTTGGCTTTAATTTCGTACACATTTTCCTACTTTTCTTTCCCACACCAGTTAGATGAAAGTTATCATATAGAACACCTAACCGTATGTACAAACGCTGCTGGGTGATAACAGTGCCGTTAAAGCTCCTCCAAAGAGTTCTGGTGGGACAGTGGTTCCCGGCCCCCCTCCTTTGTCACTACGCCCTCCGGCCCCAGTCACGCTTCCGAGGAAGCGGCTGGCGCTGCTGTGCAGGCAGGGAGCAGCTCCACCCGCCCCGAGCGCCAGACCACCCTCGCAGCTGGTAGCCGGTGCGAGCTGGCGCCAGAGAGGTGAGCAAGCACCAGGCAAGCAGGACTTTCTGCGTGAAAGCCTGTGGCTCTTCCCCCTCACCACTGAAGCCACCTTACCTCCTGCAGAGACAACCCTCCTCTTCCCCGTGCTGTCAGTTCATCACCTTCTGTTTCTTCTCTGTTACAGTTCTGTTTCATACATTTGTGAATGTATTTTCCATTTTCATCATATTGCTTCTGCTCTTGGGTTCTCATTTCAGTTCTTTTGTTTGTTTGTTTGTGTTTGTTTCTTTTTTTTTGTTTGTTTTGGTTTTGCTTTGGTTTTGTTGTTTTCTGTTTGTTTATTTTTCTTTTGTTTTGTTTTTTCCTTTTTTTCTGCTTTTTTTTCTCTCCACATTCTCCAGGCTGCCTGGTTCCTTCTACTGCTACTGCTGCTGCCGATGACGCTACCCACAATGCACCACAACCTCAACCACCATCTCTGCCTCCATCTTTCTCACAAGCCCTGCTTAGGTCGCCCCTTCCCACCCTCCCCTATCTTTTCTCTCCATCTTGTCTCTCATACTCTCTGCTCAGTGCCACTCTTGGATCCAGCAGAGGCATTGTCATGCCTGCCGCCAGCACCACTGGGTTTTCGCCCATCATTGCCACTCCAACTCCAGTAAAAAGTGACGTTCCCTTAGTTCAGGATGCAGCAGGTAACACTCCTTTGCTTTCTCTCTGTGTCCTATGCCCATCTCCTTCCCCACTCACCCTGCCCATGTTTTTTCCTCTGCACCTTTGGGTCAGTAAAAAGCATACATCACTCTGTGTCTTACTTAACTTTATCCAAGGGCCGGCCGTGCCCACTCCTTGTGTCTGCTGACACAGTAACCACAGCTAAGAAGGGTAACCAAAACCACAGCAGGTCACTGAGACATTTGGATACCTGAGAACAATTTCCATCAATTCCAAACTATGAGAAAAACCTAACAAAATCCATAGTTAAAATGTGCTTTCAGCCTCTTGATAACAGCAGGGTGGCCACAAAGCAAACTTTTGCTCCTGTAGCATTAATGGGACTTGGAATTCTTGTTTAGATCTTCCAGGCCACCCAGCACAGTGCCTACCATAATCTGCTGCACACATCTTAGCAGGTAGATGTCTGACAAGGTCCTCAGTTCCTGTACTTTTATTGATCTCGTAAGCTTCACTGCTTCCTATTCATACACAAACCCATAAAATTCAGGGATGCTTTCCCCAGCACAAGTAACAGAGTGAAGTGCAGTCAGTGTCACTATGATGACATCATCAGGCAGCTCAGGCTCTTTCTCACACTCACTGTTATTTATATCTGCTCTTAACAGCTGCAGAAAATACAGCTAGATTTTTAGTTTTAAGCTGCCATGTTTCCCATGTGTGACTAAGATCAGAGATGTCTCAGACTGGGGATTCTCATGCCAGCTGGGAATGTTTTTTAGGGTGTGTCCCAGTTTTGGCTTCTTTTCCCAACTCCCAGCTCTTTTCTAGTTAATTAAGGGCATATTTGTGCTTAAAGTTCACACTTAAGAGGATTCTGGCAGACTACAAATGTCCCAGTCATTCTTCCTGCCAGTTTTAGTAATGTGCAAGTCTAAGGTACGTGGTTAGGAGCGTGGCTGGAGGACCAACTCCACTTGGAAGTTCACAGGTTTTTCTCATGGGACTTGGCAGGAGAAGGATCCTTTCCCTGTCCGGAGGAGTGTGTTCCAGTGAACAAAATTCACAAGAAACTGTATTTTTGCTTCTTTTTTTTTTTTTTTTTAAACTGCTTTGCATGCAACCTGAAACATCTTAACCTTGTGCTGTGATTTCCTCTAATTATATATTTTTAAGTTTCTTTTTGTTTTACCTTTGTATCATTTCATGAATGTTTGTTTACATTATTAGTAATTGAAAAGACAAATTTATGCCATGCACTTACCATTGAGATTTAATTGGGATTACATCTGTGGAGGCTTGTGATCTTCAGCTGGGTCCTAGTGACTGAACGTTGTCTAGTGGCTAAAGGAGGAGAGTGTGCCAGGTTATCATCCCTCTTTTTGAAACCCTTGCTCTGAAACTTTGCCTGTATGAGAAAACAGAATTGGTTTAACTAAGGTTTTAAGCACATTCATTTGAACTATTATATAAGATGGGCAGATACACTGAGATTAAAACAGGTAAAAATTAAATTCTACTTATTTCCCAGATTTTCATCCAGAATCCTACCCCCAGAATGGCTTATCCCATATTCCTGTCTGAAGGCAGACAAGATGAGCATTCATAGTAATGATAAAAGAAAGACTTGATGGTTTGACTGTAATTTTTTAGAAGTTGATCTGGATAGCAGCAATTTGTCCAGCAACGATGCTCTTACATTAGTCGCCTGGAAGCGGAGAACTAGATTTTACAATACCAGATGTTTAGAGGGGGAGCAGAGAGTTAATTGGTCGCAGATTCTATAGCTAAGAGCTTGCTAATTTAAAATCTACAGTGACAGAAAGTTATTCTTTCACTGGTAGCTGGTTAAATTAGCCTTAATGTGCAGTTTCCACTAGCTACATGTCACTGTGATGGTCTCACCATGGATGCCTCAAGCTGGTGTCCTTATCTGCAGTCTGAGCAAAAGTACCCTGTAACGAATGGGCGTGGAAAAAGCTTTTGTTCTTTGCTTATCCTGCAACCTGTATAGCCCTGCCACAAGAACAGTGCAGGAGAATAGGTTGCTGCTGCCATTTCCATTGACTTGTATCTTTAATACCATGCCAGTTTAACTTTTGGAGGCTTCCTTCAGTGAACACCACCTTCTCTTAAAGGGTTGTCACTGGAGGGGCCAGATATGGCAAAAATAGCATTCATCACTTTTAATACCTGCTTATCAGCCAGAAAAAAAAAAAAAAATCTACAACACTCAAACAGATGACTCTTTCTTCAGTCTCCTAGACAAGGATGCACACTGCTCTGGAGTCTCAGGCCCCAGGCACTGCATGTCACAAATCATGCCTCTTTTTAAGAGGTTGGCAGTTCCAGCATGAAGAGAGGGGAAAAAAAAAAAAAAAAAAAAGTATGTTTTCGTTGCAAGCTATAATTTCCAATTACACTCACAATTCTGCACCTGGTGAGAAATTCTTGCCTCCAACCTCGTTTGTGCTGCATGTTGATACTGGAGATTGTGGTTTGATTCTGGAAATAGCAAGCAGAGAAAAAAAAAAAAGTTAATAGATATAATGAGGTCGAGTCCTTGATGTCAGCTTGATCCTAGGGGACATGAGCACTAGCCAGTTATGCTGGCCCTGTGAATGAAAGTGGAAGATAGATGAGGGCTCTTTATTTACTAGGGGCATCATGTGATTTTTGAGACCCAAGGGAAAGCTGTAGAACTGGTATTTTCTCTAAGAGTCCACTGGCTAGTGATGATGAGAATTAGCCCTATTGAACATCTGTCCATCTGTCTTTCTAAGTGCACTCATCGTAATATGTAGGCTCATTACAGTGAGGGATGTTGTAGTCTCCTGGCCAAAGTCCATCCTATTTCTATAAATTCCCCCCCTTGCAGTTTTAATCACGCATGGGATCTTCCTTCACTTCCTGCCTGTCCTTGGCAATTGTAGTGTATTACAGGAGCCTGGATAGGGGAAAACAGTACACACATACCAGTTTTTAGCATGCTTAAACTTCTGCCACTTCAGCCTCAGCAAGCTACAGTAACACACCTCAGTCCTTGGATTGGAACAAGCCAGCTTCTCTGTATTAAAGTCTGATTTGAGGAAAATAGGGCTAGAGATTAACTAAGCAGCAGGAGAAACTGAGAGTAGCAAAACCGAAAAGCAACAGTTAGCATTTGCACAATATCAAGTATATCAGAGCAGCAATTAGAGGTGAGGTGGGATACACTGAGAATTACGGAAGCGATGTCCAGCAAGCATCAGCCAACCCACAGTCCAGAGATCAGGCTTGCTTGGAGCTCGAGGGACGGGCTGCTGGGTGGGAAGAGTTGCAGCAGTGTGTCTCGGCAAATACAGAGCTTGCCAGGGAGCTTAGGAGATGAAGAGAGCCCTGGCTGTCAGCAATACCGCTCTCCGCTTTTTCTCCTCAGGGAATACCATCACTATGCCAACTGCCTCGGGGGCCAAAAAGCGTTTCTGGATTATTGAGGACATGTCCCCCTTTGGCAAGCGCCGCAAGACCGCATCCTCACGCAAGATGCTGGATGAAGGGATGATGCTGGAGGGCTTTCGGCGCTATGACCTCTACGAGGACTGCAAGGACTCCAGCTGCCAATTCTCTCTCAAGGTTACCCACTACCACTGCACGCGGGAGAATTGTGGCTACAAGTTCTGTGGCCGTACCCACATGTATAAGCACGCCCAGCATCATGATCGTGTTGACAACCTGGTTTTGGATGATTTCAAACGCTTCAAGTCTTCACTGAGTTGCAACTTCCCAGACTGTCAGTTCTCTGGCAATAGCACACACTTCCACTGTCTGCGTTGTGGCTTCCGCTGCACTGACAGCACTAAGGTGACAGCCCACCGTAAGCACCACGGCAAGCAGGACGTCATCAGTGCTGCTGGCTTCTGCCAGTTCAGCTCGAGCGTGGACTGCGAGGTGCCTGACTGCAAGTACAAACTCAAGTGCTCCCACTTCCATTGCACCTACCCTGGCTGCAAACACACAGTGGTGGGCATGTCACAGATGGACTCGCACAAGCGCAAACACGAGAAGCAGGAGCGAGGGGAGCTTCCTGCCATCTCTCCTGGCCCAGAGGGCCTTGCCCACTCCACTCTTGAGTATGACATCCAGAACTCTTCCATCAACCTGGACAGTTCCCTCAACCTCAGCACTGACAACAACAGCTCCCTCTTCTTCCTGCAGAACGCGGCTGGTGTGGGCCTCAATGATTCCCTGGACCTCAGCAAGAAGCAGTCAGAAGCCACTGAAGGTCCATCACCGAGCAGAGCCGGGACCACACCTCAGGAGAGGGGGGCGGTGGCATCTGGCTCCGGTGATGTGGAGGATGAGGATGACTCTTCCCAAGAGGATGAAGAGGATGATGAGGAGGAGATGAACGAAGAGGAGGAAGATGACGAAGAGGAGGAGGATGATGACGATGAGGAGGAGGATGATGAGGAGGAAGACCTGAACACAGATTCGGAAGAATCGCTGCCTGACCCTGAGGGCATGGCCACTAAAGAAGATGGAGAACCAGAGGAGGCTGCTTCTTCCACAGACCATGGTGATGCTTCCAGGCCCCAAGGCGAGCCAGCCCTTGCTCCAGCCCCAACTCCTGCTCCAGCTGCTGCCCCAGCCTCTACTGTTGCTCCAGCAGCTTCTCCTTAATCTTAAAGACAACAGCGGCAGTGGTTTGGTTTTGCTCTTACACAGAATTACTAAGAGGACCCCATGTGAGGCAAGAACAAAGATTGGGATGGCAAGTGAAAAACAAACTCCGTGCCACACACACAAGAGAGAGAGGAAGGAAGGAAACCCACACTCCTCCACAGGCCCCATAAGAGAGACAGGTTCGCAGCAGGACTGGTGCTGCATCACTTCATTCTGCAGATCACAGCACACGGGGGCAGGATGCAGCAAAAAAAATACCCTTTTTTATGGACATGAACCTTGAGGGTACCGGCTGCTTTTCCTTGCTCCCTGCATGGTGCGTGGGGCCTGTGCCCATTTGGGGACCCTTTGTTATGGGTGGGGCTCTATCCCCCCATTTTTCTTTCTGGGTTTTATTTTTCCATGTTTTCAGTTGTACGATATTAATAATCTCCACTTCTTGGAGGGGGGTGGGTGGGAACAACAGGTAATGAATTTTAGAAATATATATTTGTGTGTGTGTCTCTCTATATATAATGTACACACACACACACATATATAAAATTCAAGGAATTGGTGTCACAAAGACAACTAGCTCAGCTTTTGCCAGTGGGAAGGAGGGGTGAGGGGTGCGCACTCTCTCTCTCTCTCCACCCCTCCCCCCTTCTTTCTCCAGCATTAAATGGATGGCATCAGACAGCAAGGGTGGGAGTGGGTATTTATTGTCACATAAATGAGGACGCATTAATGAATGAGCAGGGGTGGGAATGGGACACTCCTCTGTTCTTCCAGATCCTTTTTACTATTAATGATAATAATTTTGAATGCTATTTATATTGTAAAACTTTCTCAGTCTACACTTTCTCTGTAGGACACCTCTCCTCATCCCTGCTGTTCTGCCTGTAGGGATTTAGCTGAAGTAACTTGGGAAGAACACAGCAGGCAGTTAAAGGGTCTGTCACACTGGAGGACTGGGGTTAAACTCCCATCCAGTTCCATCTCATCCCCACCCCCAGGTGCTTCCTCTCAGTTGAGGGTGAGGCGTTTTTGTGGTGCTTCAGTATCCCCATCTCAGGAGGTTGTGAGCTGACACTCTGTCCCACGGTGCAGCACAAGGAGCACCGTGCTCGCAGAAGAGCGTCCTAGCCATTAAAGCAGCCTTGAAAATACTACTTGCTCTCTGACCCAGGCAGTTGTACAGTGACAGGTATGTCCCCAGGTCCCAGGCCCTTGGCCCCAGCCTTTCACTGGGGACGGGCAAGTCTGTCTTTCTGCATGGACTGATACGGATCTCTGGTGACTTCTGGGAGAGGGTGAAGGCACCACTGTAGCGGGAGGAGAAGGCAGGCGAGCGTTCAGGATCCCACTGTGGGACATCCTGCTCAGACTGGGGGTCTCTCTTGCTCAGCCCTGGGGCGGGGAAGGGGACAACACTGTTCTGCAGCACCCGGGTAGCTGTTGGCCCAGTCACAGGTTTTGCAGCTACAAAACATGAGGCTGCTGCACTCTATGCAGCACAGAGAACTCGAAGATGGGGGGCAATGCTAGCCGAGGCCAGGATGTAGTCCAGCTAAGAATTAATGCATTTCTGGGTCCATGCTGATAAATTTTGACAAGTAGGGCTAATAGCTTGGGCACTGTATAAGCAAATGCAACTATACTGTGTTGAGACCTGCCACCTCCAGAAGCTTGGGCTTTCCCCTGGTTACAAGCTCTTCCCTGCTCTCTTTCCCTAGCCTGGTCTGGGAACACACACTACAGGATACTGTCCTGGACTCTGACAGGTGAGACAGTAGCTGTTTGACCCCAAATCCTCACCTGAGTCTGAGAGAGGGGGCTTGTTGTCTACATACACCTGGGCTCCAGAAGGACTAGCCGTACAAATTAATTCTGATAATAGTTATTTCAGTGCCAGTCTGTAAGTATACCAGCCTAGCAAAAGGTTCCTTGTGTCTGAAGTTTGTCCCTTTTTTAAAAGAAGACTTAATTATTTTTTTCTAACATCATACAGGCACCCCCTCCCCCCCAACTCCATGAGCACTTCAGCTCCAAGGGATCCCCATAATTTGTTTTTACCCTGAACAGATAAAGGCCTCAAGAACTTTAGGTTGCTTTTTTTTTTTTTTTTTTTTTAATTATTTCCCTAAGGAACTGGTGCAGATCAGGTCTGATTTATAAACAAGCAGCTCAGCTGTGTAAATGTGGGGACAGAATGTTCAGATAATGTTTCAAAAGGAAAGGCAAAAAAAAAAAAGTTGTACAGTATTTTTCCTGTAAAGGTTATTACTATATATAGAACAAAAGAGAAACCACCAATGCCAGGGGGATGAGGGGGGGGTCACCTGCCTTCTGGATAGCCCTTAGATACAGTTAATTGTGTGCAATTTTTTTCTCTTTTTTTTTTTTTTTTTTTTTTTTTTTCCCCTTCAATGTAGTGTTTGTTTGTAGGGGATGGCAGGGGAGGGGGGCCTTAATGCTACGGTTTGAGGCTGACTTCACACTCCTAGCACTGACCAGAGCTGCACGATTCCGAATTCTAACTTGAATTTTGTAGAGATGAAACAAATGAAAACAAAACAAATGAAATATTGTTATTACTAGTTTGTAGTTTATTTAATTCTTTGGAGTTCTTTCCTCTATCAGCTATTTGTGTGGCTTTTATTTTTATAGGGTTTTTTTGTTTGTTTGTTTGTTTTTGTTTTGTTTGGTATATCCCCTGCCCTCAACTGTGTGTTTTCTAGCACAACCCAATTCTTGAATATAATGAAGCTCACGTTCCTGGGGCAGAGTGAGGGAATGAGGCCCTGAATTTCTAGAAATGGGATGGGGCAAAAAAATTTTACTTTAACAGCATTTGCTGCAGGTTCTGTACTTGTACATTTTTCCCATATTCAACTACTTAGATAGTATGGTGATGGGCTCCAAGAGGAATCCTTGGATGTAACACAAGCCACATCTTGCAAAACAGATGTGTTTATTTTATACCACTGAAATCATCACGATGTGTATCAGTGACTTTTGTGGGAGCAGGATCAAGCCTACTGCCTTCAGTCCACCATCCTGCAAGGTTTACGTGACACCTGCCCGTGAGTGTTGTCACCGCGGAGGGCGAGGGGGGGCTCTGGTTTCAGTGGCAAGGCACGGGGCTCACTCGGGCCGCTTGTTTCCGTTCAGGATAGACAGGCTGTTTCCCTGCTGTTAGGAGCTGGGAACCTGCACTGCAACACAGTGTTTTTACCTCTCCCCTTTCATATCTCACCAGACTCCACTGACTGAATCACTGCACAACAGTAGGAGAAAGCAGAAGTGCGTGGAGAAAAGGGGTAAAAGATCTACCAGTAGCTCTGCTAACGCCGGCCCGCTGGGGTGGGCGCTGAGCGTAACCCGTCCTCCCGGGAGGCAGCTTGAGGCAGGGGCGGCCAGTGCAGCTGCACCAGGATCCGCGCTGGAACGGGGCCCTGTTTCACACGCCCTTCTGTGTGGCTAAGTGTGCCAGAAGGGCCTGTGGTTATCTATGCACACCATTTTCTCCCCCCAAGGCACCCTACTTCTCCCTAACATCTCAGCCTTCCTCCCAAACTTTTATCACCTCTTCTCCGGGAGCTAGCACTGGGAAGGAGATTTCTTCCCCACCAGGCTACTGCTAAATGCGACAGCGAGCAAGGCCTGATCCCCCCAGAAGGTCAGATACCCTCAGAGGACAGCGGCCACCCCACAGGCTGGCCCTACCCCCAGAGCGTGTCTTACTCAACCTTCTCCAAGTCTCGTTTCTGTAAATCTCTTACTATGTCTCTGTTCACAACAACAACAACAAAAAGTCAAGAAGGTTAACCCCGTCTTTTTATTCTGCCATGTTAAGGCTTTAATTCAGCAAAACTCTTAAGCAGATGCTTTCTGAACGGGCACAGGTTTAGGCCCGTGCTTAAGTGCTTTTCTGAACAAAGGTCTCAACAGCACAAAGATCCCTATTACAGCGAGGTGGGTTTTTTCACTTCAAGCTATCATATCAATAGGACTGTTAATACAATACTATTGAAATACGTGCTTAAAAGAATGACCAGAGAAAGCGAGGGAGATTCAACTAACTGTAGGAGGAGGGGGAAAGAGGAGAGAGGAAATGGAACTGTTCTGTCCAAAACAAGATAAAAACCAAACAAAATAAACCTTGAGATGGACCCTCCTGATTCTGCTACCATTCACTGCTGAAGAGCAAAAAAATGAAATAAAAACTATTGACTAGATTGTTCATTCTAGCCACAAAATCAACTGGATTAAAGTCTGTGTGGAAGGAATTTTGTAAAGAAAAAAAAAAATATTAAAAAAAAATTTTCCAATGTAGCAAAAAAAAAAAAAACAACTTTAAAAAACAAAATTAAAAAAAAAAAGACAAAGAGGGAGGATTCTAGCCTTTTGTAATATCCATATTGCACACTAGGACTATAAGCCATTGCTAGCTCATTTTGAATTTTAAATGTGTAATTTTTTTGTTTTGTTGTTGTTTTTTTTTTCTTTCCGTGGGGGAGGGGGGGGAATAAATGCTTGAACCACCAATGCTCTTTTTAATGTTTTATAAATATGTATGTGTATATATATAAATATAAAAATAATATGTATGCACATATATATGTGTGTGTGTATATATCTATATGTATATACATATATATAGATATATAGATATATATATAGGTTTTGAGACAAAAATGCAGAAAGTGAAAAAAAAACACCCTAAACAGGATGGTGTGCTCTGATTTACTTGAATCTGGTCTCTTCAGCACCTGCGTTATTAAGAACTGAATATTTTTCCACTTGAATTTAGTGCTATTAGAAATTTAATATATGTGTTTTATTTATTTGATTTTTTTTTGCATGACTGATGCAAGGTTTGACATTTTCACTCAATAAAAACTGGAAAAAAAAACCCAAAGTTTTAAGTGATCAAGTTGTCTTCTTGATTGAGGAGGTGTTGTATTTTTTTAAGAGCTTACAAGTCTTGGAGCAGTTTGGGTCTTTTAAAGCCCTGCAGTCCTAGTAATGGCCCTGCACCCATTTTAACAGCCACTCTTTTAGCACTAGTACTAAGGTGATAAGTGCAATAAGAACAGAATTCTCTTTATATGGACTCTGCCCTCAAGCTCTTTAAGCAGCCCTGTAGTTTTATTTTAAGTGCTTATCAGGGCTCCCGGTAGAAGTGATGCTTCCATCTCCACAATTACCTAACCTGGGACCTAGAATTAGAGATGTGACTGCTCACATTTTGACTTTCTCCTTCCTACATTGACCTGCAAACCCAGGGTGGTGAATTGGGATCCATGGTGGAACTGTGTTTGCTGTAACCCATGTGAAACCTTACACAGTCCGTCGAATCAATTGATGTCTGACTATCGCCCTAACAAAAGGGAGACAACAAGCATGAATGAAACGTCCTGGCTGCATAGATTGGGTGGGGTCTAACAAAGCTACCAATCCCCCCTGGCCTGCAATGTTGAAGCCATATACTTTGACAGAACTCAGCAAGAACACCTAAAGCTGTATGCCACGCATCAAAGAGCTGAAAGCAAGCATTCCTTACCTGGCCACGCCATAGCTTTTTCCTGCTGCAGAAACTTGTATACCACATGCGCTTGCGAAGTGCAGTGATGGCCATCTGGGATGAGAAAGTCTTTCAGGCAAAAGGGTGTCCTGAGAGCCACAGTGCGACCCAACGCTGCCTTGGTACAGCTGACCCAGCAGCCACGAGTGCTGACTGTAAAGGAACAATAGAGTAGATTAAAACCGCTGCACACTCAATACAGCTCGTCCCCACCATTCTCGTATGCAAGACCCATCCCAGGCCTGGGCACTTCCACAGCAGAGGTGGGGCTAGAACAGGCTTTTGTCACCAGCAGCCCTGCTCTGAATCAGGCAGCTGGGGACAGGCAGTAGATGCCATTTTATGAGGAAGTAAGCAAGTTACTTTGGCGGGGTGGGGGGGGGGAAATGTGTTCACAGCACATCATAAGCTCTAAAACAATTGCCCCTGTGGTATCTGCCAGGGACCAACGTGCCCCTCAGTACTCACCCCTCAGTGGAAGACCATTGCAAGGACACATCCTAACAGTCCTTGTGCAGATTTGTCCATCTAGCAAGACGGAACTCTGCACAAGAGCTGTCTCTGGGTTGACCGCCCCCCCCCCCGAGCGTTCCACCCTGCCCGGAGTTGTTCTTTCCCTGGTCAGGCACACAGACCAGCGCACATCCAGCTGCCTTCCTGAGCAGGCCAGGCCTGAGTGCCCTGGAAACGCAACTGTTCCTGCACCCCGGCAGGTATTTGGGTGACTGTGCAGCCATCCCCTCTCAGCCTCCGTCACAGCCTCTGCGGTGCCAGATGAGCTGCTCCTAGATGCTGGCTTGGCACAAAACACTGCTCTGATGCCTGTCCTGCCACAGTGCTGTTGGGGATGGGGGCAGGGGGAAAAGCAATGTCAAAGTTCTTGTTTTACCCAAAGAAAACCTGTGTGGCTCTTCCCCTGCATCTCGAAGCAGCGGGGTCTTTGCGCCTCCCTGCCACCCATCAGAGAACCCAGGAGCAGCAAAGCAGCGCTTGCCAAGCCTGATGCATTGGCAGCAGCTGCCTCCTTATTAGCAGAGAGGATTAGACTCCTCTCTCTTTCAAAGCCCCCTCGTTGCTCTGCTGCAGCTCCCAGCCATCCTGTTTTCAGATGTCATTATCTGAACATGCTCCTAATCCGACCTCGGAGCAGGGAGGTTTGTTCTCACTGGAGCTCTGCCCACAGCACACGGGCTATTTACATGATTGTGTTTCCGGGCGGGGGGGACGGGACCTGAAGACACGACTCACTGCTTGAAAGCTCTTGCTGGAACTTGCCTGCTCTCAGTGGAACTCTGACTGCACTTCATAAAAGAATGACTAAGTCACGGGAGACGCTGCAAGTTGAACTAATCAGAGCCTCACTATTGCATTCATTCCAAGCCCTCACAACTGGTGACACTGCAGTGCTGGATCCAGCCCCTGCAGTTGGTGAGCCATAGAAAGCAGCAGAGACCTAGCAAGGCTGCTTGTTCTAATGTCAGGACAAAAGCTGGGCACTTGCTGCTGCTGCTGTTATACTTTGATTACATCAAGCATACCCCTGTAACAGCATTTTTTTGTCAGGGCAGGACTCTACAGTTACACACATAGCCACAAAACTACACTGCCCGTTTTACCTAAGACACTGGATTGCCACTTTTCATCATACTACCAAGCATTCTGCAGCACCCACCAACATAGGCACCCACAGCAGGTGTATCCCCTGGCACCATCCCAAACATAAAACTCAAACAGACGAGCACTGTTTTCCCCCTCCAGACAATTCAAGACTATAAACCAATAGAGGCAGCAAAAATTCAATCACCTCAAACATAAACAAGCAGGTTTTCTAGGGCACAGACTGGGAGACCAGGTGGTTCTGCTGCTGCTTCAAATCATCTTGGTTTTTAGATGTCATTAACCAAAAAATGCCCAGTCCAGCCTTAGTGCATGGGGACCTGTCCTTGCTGGAGCCATATGGGTCAACAAGGACAGGAACAGGGACAGCAGATTATCAGTGTTGGCCAAAAATGAAGGTAATGGCCACCACGGTGGCTCAGAAAGATGATCACCACTATTCATCCAAGTGCTTCTCACAGACATTCTAGCAAGGTAGTTTTTAGAGATTACTAGGAAAATAATACTTTGGGTTATACCTCTCCTTATGTTCTAGACCTACAAGGAACAGTTTTTATACTGTGGTAGGCATTCATTTAATTTGCAGGAATCTTTCTTACAAACTCTTATCAGCTCCAAACTTAACTCCCCTTTAGTCAAGCAGCCTTCTCAGAGGGAGCTGGGAAGACCAGGATTCAGAGCAGTCGGTGTAGGGCGGCCAGCGGTCACCCCTGAGCTGCACCATCAGGTGCGCAGAGCTGGAACACGTGCCCAGCAAAATACTCCTCATAGCTTGCTCAGCTGAGTACAGAATGCAGTAATGTACATCTGTCTCTGGGAGGATATTTACTCTAGCAACACAATGCCTCCTACACCCAGACAGAAGGAAATTCAGAATTCTGATGCCTACTGGTACAGAGGAAAAGCAGCTGTTATGATGCCAAACATATACTGGGCATAACTTACAGCTTGCAAAGACCAATGCTCAACACTGACTTCCTAAGGCATAATGCCTTTAAGAAAGACCTGGAGACTTGCTAGGGCAATAGGTCTGTTAAATAAACCCATCTTTATTCCTCTAGATTAGAGAATCAAATTTGGAACTGAGCACGATTTTAGCACAGAAGAGCAGCAGTCAAGTCCCTGGGTATGAGTACGGCTGAGGTGCCCCCAGGAGCCCAGTTTCAGAGGAATCCATAAGGCAGGAAAGGGGAACTACACATGTGCTGCTGCAGCTTTAGAGAAGCCTACTGTTGAGAAAATAGTGCACGCCTCTGATCGGGAGGCAGGACTGGAAACGCCTAGATCCCTTAGAAGACTAGCAAGTTATTCTAACACATCCTCTTCCCTGTAACAGGACAGGAGGCCAGAAGTAGAAATTTTGATAGAACACAGACACAAAAGGGAAAAAGGGAAAAAACATTCACACAATGCAGAAAAAATTAATTAAGCCAGCTTTTGGTACTGTCTATGTTGCTCGGGTATGGGAGCCAAGATAGAAACCAGCCATTAACAGATAACAACTAGCTAATAGATAATAAATGCCTTGAGACTTCCTGGAAAGAAATATTTTCACTGGGCATTGGGTATAATAACACAAAGCAAGAGAGAAGTATTATGACACAGAAGTGAACAAGAGAGCGTGGACCAAACGTTTAAAGCTAAGTCCTTCACTTGACTTCTAAAATCTCCTTCACAGTTCTGCAAAAACCTGTTCCAAGAAGTAGGGTTGTGAACCAACAATCCTGGTACATACAGACTGCATCAACTGCCTGTGTCACAGCTGAGCTCTGCATTTGCACTTCTGGGCTACTGCACACAGGCACAAAATTGTGTTCACAAACCTGCAGGTGCTTTTTCTGAAGACCATGGGAAACCCTTTTAAAGAAGAAGCTCTTGGGGAAAGGGAAGGAGAGGAGGTATAAGCAAATATGTGTGTTCCCCCCCCCCCCTCCCCCAATCTGCATGCAATCTGCATAGAAGACTAAAGCTTTCAAACATGACAATAAAATCTCACATCATCTTCAAGGGGAAGATGAACTTTAAAGACTTCTCTGAAAGTCAATGAGCAGCTTGTACCTATTCCAAACAAAAAAGCATATAGATTGTTGGGAATGTTTGGGAGTTTTACATACGTGCACACATGCACACACACACACACACACACACAAATAAATAAATAATTTATGTCTTTCTCTATAAATCAAGGCAGAACATAGTTTAATATGACCAAACTTGGAAAGAGTGAGAGCGTGCATGAATATATCCTTACACAAGACTTGCACATGCACAGCTACAGCAAAATATCCAAGTTTACCTAATACTTGTGTGGGGACAAGGAAAGTATGCCAGTTTTGGTGAAAGCATGCAATAGCATGTAAGGGAATTGCATGTGTGATATTTCCTATACCTGGTATATTTTATGGGTATCTATAAAAAGGTAAGGATAGGCAAGATGCTTTTGAGTTGCAGGCACTGTTATGTGGAAATCCAACATTCAGACAGGAAGCCCCTGCTTTTTGTGTCTGTCTGCTGTCCTGAACAAACTTCCAGTACCTGAAAGCTCACACCACCTAACTCCGGAGGCAACAACCTCTACCAAAGGGGTGAGGGCAAAGGGAAGAAAGGCACTGAACAGCATTTGCAGGTACAGTAGGTGTTAGAAGGGATGACAAGTTCTTCATGCCAGCCCTGGGGCAGTGAGCTCACTGCAGTTCCTAACATACATCTTCCCTTACAAGGGCTAAACGTTTGCTCAGAAGATAGGAACACAGCCCCTCCAGAGGCAGATCCCTTCATTTCACCTGGGGGAAGCAGGGTGCTCTGGCCACTAGTCCGGCTCTTGCCCCTGAAGTGCTCCAGACCCATCCTGGCTGAGGAGGGGTGGCCAACAGAGGCAGCTTCCCTCCTTCCTTTTGCTCTTTTTTGGCAGGGAAATTCTTAAACAAACAAATGAAGAAACACTGAGGATTTAAGTAAACAGACAAAGATTTATCTGACAGGCAGACTGAGCCTTTCCCTGCCCCCTTCCCTTCCCACAGGGCAGGGTGCCGCCTTGTACTCTCGCTGTGAAGCCAGCTACCAACAGCATTTGCCCCCAGCCCTTGCAGTCACCCGCAACCCCTAGGACCCTCCCGTGATCCCAGGCCGCAGCTGAGCTCTGCCTAAACATCAGAACTCTATAGTCTGAGACATGAAAGAGGGTAAAACAAAGCCATTTGGTCTGTGGACAAAGCAAGTTAGAGAGCCCCTCGCAGAGAAGCGAGCTCATTCGTTCAGCGACCAGGCACTAACTAGCCCTGCAAGTCACATCTCGGCTCGAGCCAGTTGTGCCCACGAAATGGAAGGGAACTGGCTCTGAGCTGGAGGCAGCACTGTGTCTACGCTGGCAACAGCCACCGTGCAGAGGTGGTTCCCCACAGCTGACACAGCCCCTCCACATCCCCTCTGCAGACCCACGGAGGGGACACCCGCTGCCGCAGCATTCACTACGCCTCTCTGTTTTACACAAATGAGCACACTCCGCCTGCGGCTTTTAGAGTTGGGGAAAAAAGGTTAGAAACATGCAATAGCGTGATGTTCCAGTTTCAGTTGAAAGACCAGGCTGCAGCTAGCTCATTCTGGGGAACAGAAGAGACTGCAAAGCAAGAGGGAGCCCCAACCTCCATCTCACACCCAAAACTTGCTGGCTGCTGCAGTGGAAGAGTTGGTATTACTGTGCAGCAATGCACAGGCACAAAACCATACAAGTAAGCAGGCAAATAGGCATGCAGAGATGAAATCTACTGTTGATACTGTAAGAGGGCAGGAAGCAAAGAATAGTTCATCTACATAGGAAAGCCGCAGCAATTTAGCACAGTCTTTTGTGCATGCACGTATCATTTGAAACTGCTTAAGTAAAGCAAATCTGTTCAAAGAGATGGAAGAATGTCCACCCAAGAATTTGCTCTGGTTTAATTAAATCAGTTAAAGAAATTAATTTTAAAGAGGTGTTACTCTAGCTTCACACAGATAAAACCTCAGTACTAGCTTACAGAAGCAGATGGATAAAGTTGGAAGAAGTCTGTTTCTGAATTGTTAGAAAGAAAAAGGAAAGAGCAGTAGGCATTAGGAGACAGGCAGGCATGACGGAAGACTGAAAAACCAACAACAGGGATGCTGTACACAACAGACATGCCAAGCAGACAAAGTGACTGAGACATACAAGCAGGTTGGCGAAGTGACAGACACAAAAAGAAAAATAGGCAACAAATAAGCCAGTTGTACTTCTAGATCCTCTGAGTCAGCCCTATCCAGCCAATCACCTTCTCACTCAGGAGACAGAGTCCTAAAGAAAAGCAAGTATTTTACCTAAAACAGAAAAAAATACGTCAAATCCCCCCACGTCCCTCTTCAAGCATGTTCTTGCAGCCAGCATCATAAAAAAATATCTCATTATTTGCACAAATATAAAAGAAAAAAAATGCTGAAGGGTTAAATCCTTCAGCAGATGCAGAAAAGAAGGGGTTGGTGGGAAAACAGGGCTGTTCTTCTAAGATGCTCCATACTGTAAGTAACCCCTGAGCAGTCCTTGCAAAGCATTTGGGGAGATTTTTAGTCTGAAAGACACTTTACAAAAATAAATTGCAATTGAGTTTAATAATCTTCCCCTTTTCAGAAAGGGCCTGACAGATGCTGCCTAGTGCTCACTTCTGCCCCATTTCAAATATTTTTACCTTATTTGGATGAAATATATTATTTTTCTAATGAAAGGAGGTTGGTTTTTTTTTTTTTTTTTTTTTCTCCAAAGAGCTGGTTTTTCCTTCGTCCAGCTGGTGCCTTTATTAGGTTAGTGCTTGCTCCCTTTTGGGGATGGGACTGTTTTTTTCCTTGAGCTGGGAGAGACCATGCCAGCCCCTCAATCTACACGTGCGCAGTTAAGAGCTTCTACTGCACAGCAAGTGGAGGAGTTCAGCCCTGCCCTCCATCTTCCCTCTTCGCTTATACCCTGAAATTCACCTTAGGCACATTTCCGTATTTTATTTCATTTTCTGAGAGCATACATAGTGGTAAGAGCCAGCCTTTCATCAGCGTATGTGGCCACAGCTCTAAAGGTGCCTTACAGAAGCTGACTCCTGAGGAAGCAGCAGTGTCTGGGGATAAGATGATAAAAAGGAAAATGAAGAAATCTGGAAGCTCCCTCCTATGCCCTCAGGTAAATCATTTCCTATGTTTCACCTCCAGCAACCCTTTACTTATGTTTTCAGTCCCTGGAGGCCAAGCCCCTCTCTTGCTTTGCACTTGCATACCACTCAGTTCAGCCTAGAAGACTCTCAGCTCAAGCTTAACATCAGTTTTTGGTGTGCAGGGTCACCACCACATACAATCTGTGCTTAACATAAAACACCACCACACAGAAGGGACCTCCCAAAGCTTCCTGTTGTCAAAACCCTTGGGAAACGCTTGTGCTCCACAACCTGCAGGGTGTGGAGGGTCTTAGTCAAGCATGGACACCCTGACTTTAACACAATGGGTTTGCAACAAAAAGCTGCTCTGGACCTGCTGTCTAGTCTTTTTTTTCCCCAAGCATCACACTGCCCCACCAAAGGAAAAGCAAAGGCGGCCTCCATTTCTGTAGCAGGCACTGCAGAGGAAAGCAAGGGAGTAGACCCAGACTGGGTTTTTGGACAGCCTGGGTTTTTTGCCAGCCCCCTCCCTGCTGCAGGCAACAGCCCAGCATATACCATGCTTCCTCCCACCAGTACACATCAGTATGGACCCTCTGGCAACTCTTCTAACAAACCCCAGAGCAGGGTGAAGCGGCCACAGGAAATGCAGCCAGTTCCCCCACTCTCTTGAAGACAAAATCAAGAAAGAACATAGTTAACTAAAAAGCACTTACTTGCCTGAAGAACCCGAGTTGCAGTAAGCAAAGGCCAGATCTAAAATGTCTGCCTCCAAGGCAGGCTGCTCCAGGACAGGAGGGCAGCTCCTCTCGCGCAGCTGTGCAGTTCAGGCTATCAGGGGACAGTGGCTACAGCTGTGTGGTGTGCTGCAGCCTGGCACTGCCAGCAACGGGGGCTGGGGCTCTCCCTCTGGGGCACAGCAGTTCGTGGGGGTTGGGGGGTTTTGTGTAAGCTGCAGGACCTAGCATGAAACCTGGTTCCCAAAGTTGGCTTTCTCTGCAACTTGTCTTTGTCACATCTCTGTATTTACCAGCCAGTATTTTTTACCATCACATGTGGAAACTGAGGCACACTTGTAAGTAAAACATTTTGCAAAACTTCATGCAGCAAAGCGGCAAGATCACAAGGAGTCCTGTAGTCCACCCTCTTCCCCCGATCCCAAACACTATTAGGTTACACCCCCAACACACAGATTCAAAAAAATCTTCCTGCTTCTGATGAAGATGCACATAGGACTTAACTGTCACATCTGGAGCTGAGGAAGGTTGGACAAAGATGATCAGGACACATCTCTCTAAATCCTTTCCCACTTTGTCACATTTTCCAAGTTCCCCACGCTTCTCTTGCAGCTATTGAAAAGTGAGCTTTTATATCCTCAAATTACTGGAAAGCACCAGCCTGATACTGTTTCGTCTAGGAGAGAGAGCACAGGCTCCCAGGGTTTCACTGAAATGTGCTCAAATGACATTGACACGTTCCTCAAATGAGGAAGCTCCCTTCCCCTGCTTTCTGTATGCTATCAAGGACCTATAGAAACCACGTGACGAACTCACTGAACTCACCAATTGGGGTGTTGTTTTTCTTCTTCCTGTGCCAAAACAAAGGCCGATTACACAGTAAAATTGAGTACTTGAATAAGCCAGATGGTGGGTAACTGCTGCGGCTGTCCTGTTCTGCAGAAAAAGGTTTGCTACCTGGTCATCTTTCAGCTAATATGATGCCATTCTCAGTGCCTACTGGCCAGCGAGCTAACATTTCACAGGGCAGCTGATCCAAGTAGTTTGTTTCTAGCGAAGAAAAAAAAAAAAAAAAGAAAAAAATTTGCAAGTTAGCAGTCAGACTACACAGTTCATAAGAACCAAAATACTCACCTTACAGCCGTTACTATGGTAGAAAGACAAGGAACATGAGACAAGAGGAATAAAACCCACGATTCACAACAATACCTGCTGGTTAGGAGGTCTGGCTTCTTCCAAATTCCCTGCTGGTGGGTTGGATCTCTTCAACAAAGCACACAAACACCCCATCAGCAGCCAGAGGCCCAGAGTTACATTTTTTTGAGCAACAACAGCTATGATGGAGTTTTCTGGGATTCATCAGGTTGGGGACAGAAAAAACTGTGACTTATTGAATTGGTAAGGGTTGCAAGAAGCAAAAACTAAGGAAGGGAAAAGGGCAGCTGAAGAAAACTGCACCAGAAATCTTGAGGTAGATGAACTGAACATTGGCAACATGGAGGAAAAGGGGGGAAAAATGAACCCGCAGGGATGCTTGTACTGTAAACCTCGTAAGTCACTCTGCAAGGCACATACCTCAGCAACATATTTTCCACATTTCACCAACTGCTGTTGTCCAGGCACTTTCTATTTTCAAAACCTTCTATGTATATGAAATGTACACAGGCAGGACAATACTTTTTCATCACATCCCTGCGTTCAGTCTTGTTTTCTTTTCACAAGGTTTCTTGGCTTGGAGAAAAGAAAAGTACCATCTCTTAAGAAAAACCTTTCCTTTTAAACACTTTCAAATTTGCCCTGTTTTAGCTAAACGTGACGTTCTTTGTGAACGTTAAACAGTGGAGAGAGAGAGACTGGGGGGGGGGGTGGTGGTGGAGAGAGACACACACACACACTCACTCACTCCTGGGGAAGATATTCGTCCATTTAAGGAATGAGAAATCATCACATTCAGCAGCAGGTCTAAATACAGTAATATGAAGGTCCCTTTCGCTCCCCCTGAGCAGGAAAATGTCACTGTGTACCAGACACCCAAATACTGAGGAATCAAGTAAATCCCTCATTTTTAAGAAGGGAGCCAAATAGTTCTGTTGAACAAAGATGGGGCTGCAGTAGCTACAAATTACTTGCTGTACACCATTTCCTTCAATGGCTTCTGTACTGACATAGCACGGCTAGACCAGTCATGGGATACCGCACAGCATTCCCTGCTGGCAGATAAGGCTGAGGGGCCGTGGGATCCCTCGCACGTTCCCTTCAGCACCTCCTGCTGCCGGGGTGGAACGGAGCAGGCTGGGCATCCTGCACCCCGCAGACCCTCCCCGCTGGGAGGAGAGCAGCCAGAATAGCTGCATTTTACTCACCAGATGACAGATTCATCTCGCACTCTGCAACATCGGAGGCAACCTAGCATTACAGTGTTGATGGAGCTATTTATAGTGTAGCTTATATTGCATTGACACCATTCTCTACACTGCCTCCTGCTGATACAACCTAGTATTGGAGCAGTCAGAAAATCAACCATAAATGTCCTTCAGAAAACATTTTGTAAGCACTGAATTTCTGCAATAATTCCTGCCCCTCCCTTTACCACCCTGCATGCATATTTCTCCCCAAAATAAAAGCCACAGTAATCCAGTAATAGCCTGGTGTTAAATAGTGGTAACTCATATTTATTACAATTATATACAATCGTATTTTATATTTGAAATCTATACATGATCACACAGACGAGCACACTTGTTTGGTGAGGACAGTGAGACTCAGTTGTTACAAGAATTGCTCTGCTAAGAGGCTCTGATGCAGTGAATAATATAACTGGACACCACCATTTTACCAGCTGAGAACACAATGCTGCAAATGAGAGGTTTCAAAATTCACCGTTTTGTGTATAGCCCCAATGGGGCAAAAAAAGGCTGGACTGGGCAAATAGGGCCAGTGGTTAACCTCAGAGCTGGAACTGTTCTCTCTTCTGTAAAGACTGCTTTGCTGAAGCAGATGCCTGTCACTGGGTAGCTACAGGTCTCAGTTGAACATTTAAGATAGGTTTTCTCCTCATTTAGGGAGGAAAAACAGGCTAAAAACCATTGTAAAGATTCAGAATTAACCAACTATTTCAGCATCTGATATCACCTCATTTGTTCATTCAGGGTAGCTATAAATAAAATGTAAGATGTCAAAAACTGATGTGAGCTCCTAGTCTTTAGAGGAGGAAGGGTAATAATTGGGATGAGTGGAATCAACTTCTTTTAAAGCCTTCTTTTACTGGGGAGCAATCAGTAACGAAGCCACCTGTTCTCATGGATCTTATTGTGGCCATGAAACCTGGACTTGGTCCCTAGCAAGAGGCCACTTTGATGAGTGTATGCCTGTGGGGTAGAAATAGTGTTCTTTGGACCCCACAGAAATTTAGTGTTTTTAGATGCTAGGTAGTTTCAGGAATTTGAGGTTTAACATAAGGCTTGGAAGAGCCAAGACTGAGATCTGGTGAGGAATTAGGGGTTAAAAACGTTCCTTTTTTGGCAACAGAATATCAAGTGGTTTGAGAAATAAAACAGAGGGTTATTTTTGGGACCCAGAGAACTGGTTCGGGCCTTATGTGGGGTTTAAAGGCTTGTGAAATCAAAGAGCTCAGGACAGATTGGCTTCTGAAATTGGATAGAAGGACTGTAGGATGCAGCAAAGAGGCTGGCTGTTTCAGGAGAGATGGTATTTTTGTAAGAGGACTTATTCTGTAGCTGTGGTGCATGATAAGGCGATTGGTCTTCCAGCCTAGGCAGTGACCCCAGCTCATGGGGAAAAAGTAGGTTTGGGAGGGGAGAAGAAGCCACTGCAACACTGCAAAGCCCTGCAGTGAAGCAGGGCCCACCTTGTTCACTGGGCAATCATGACCCTGCTCAAGGTCAATCATGGGAGAATCACTGGACGGGATGGTGGCGCTTCTCTCCACAAAATGGGAGAGGCACCGGGGACAGTGCAGGAGGCTAGGGAGGATGTACAGCAGCAGCAGAAGCCAGGGTGCCTTAGTCAATCTCATTCTCATTGCTGGCCCCCTCAGGTCTTCGTAGCTTTTCCACTTGCTCATTAATCTGACCATCCCCTCCTCGCCGGTCCTCAGTCTGGACACCCAGACATTCCTCCTCATCCACATGGCTAACATCATCATCCTCATCGTCCTCTTCCTCCTCTTCGTTCCTTTTGGTTTCCCTTTTCTCCTCCTCACCCTGCACCTCCATCCGCACTTGGCTCTTGACGTCAATCACTGCCTTGTTGCCCTCCTCCGTACTCAGCAGATGGCAGCTGACCTTCGAACCCTCAGGGCTGTGGTTCTCCTTGACTGGTGATGAGGTGGTAGACTCGTTGCTGACGGGTGAGATGTCACTGCTGCTATTATGGTTGGCAACAACAGGGTTGGAGGGTGAGCTTGGCTTCACTGGGATCTGCCATGACGGGATCTTAGGAGCTGAAGGGGAGGGAGGGAACTGCCTCCTTGGGGGAGGGGAAGAGGGGAAGAAAAGGAGAGAAAGGGGCTTTTATTAAAAACACTGAGGGGTTATTATTAGAGAGAATGGTATTTGTACTGGGGAAGTCATGTAAAGCAGGACTGAAACTGCAAGCCTCCTCTGCTATAAATGAACAAAACCAAGGCCACTTCACTTCTTCAGCCAGAATCTCAAAGTGCTTTACCCAGTAATTGAGCCTGCACACAAGGAGAATATCACAGCTGGGCAATCTGAAGTACTAAAATGATCTGGTTTGGCCAATTTCACAGAGTAAGCTAGCACTCACGAATGTTGCCTGTGAAAAGACACGGTGCCCATTTATAAAGCAATCACTAATTAATTGGTAAAGAAAATTTCCACTGGAGTAAGAAGTCAGACACACCAGGTCCTTGTGCCTGAGCCAAGGAATTTCACCACCTGGTTCTTGCCTCCACTGTGATACACAGCTATTGCATCCTGGCTCATTACAATCCAGAGCCTATCTCCTAGTCCCAGCATGCACTTGACATGTTTGGGCCAGGTCCTGGCTGCCACAAACTGGTTCAGCTTCTCTGACTTGAATGGAGTCATACTAGCTTGCACCAG